TGAAGAAGATGAAGAAGGAGAAGCGCTGCTCAGCTACTGTCAAAAGGCCATGTTGGCTGTTTTGAGCGGTTTATCATGGTCTGTGTTTTTGTCGCGGAAGCCAGATGTGGTTCTCGGCAGTTCAGTTTGACTGTTCAGCTGTGGTATGCCACTGTCCCGAGGCTACCACGTGGAGGTTTACTGAGATCATGCCAGGAATATCTCATCCGCTGAGATCCGCTGAGTTAATGCTGGCTTCACACTGCCGCTGCTTTCTTATTCGTGTCCTAAACTGTGCCTCCTCAGCAGAACTGCTTGCACACTTAGGCATTTTACAAATTGCAACGTGTTGTACATAATTATCCCAGATGTGGTAGCTCGCAGAGCTCGTTGTCTTTGAGGCCTTTGCATGCCACTGCAGTTCAAGATCCCGTGTGCTGATTAAAGCCAAGACTGCCACATCTGATGATGGTCTGTGCAACCAAAACGTTGGCCCTGCCTCACCCGATGCGATTTTCCCAAAAGGCCGACAGCTGCCCAGCTGAGACCGCGTCTATAGGAAGTGTTCGGCACACTTTCAAAACCTTCCGCTTTCGCTGCGCGTTGGTGTCGGGTTTGCTTCTGACTTCCGTTTAGCTGGTACTTGTATTGCCAGGTACTGATGATCTCAGTACAGCTCGGATCTCGGGGAGTGTGGGCCGAACAGTCTGTCGACCTGCAGGTACCTCCCATTTTTTATGTGTGTACATGTGGGAGATGTTGGTGTATGTGTAAACCATTTTACACCCATATTTGTACACAGACCTTCCCACAGTTCTGGTTTGGTGAAGACATACGCATAGATACGCATAGACACGCATGGGTTCACATGCCCCAGATGACTCTACCCAGTTGCATGCGCGCACACGGCGCATAATGTGACAAATCTGCTTAGAAGACAAGATTTTCAGTTACAAACAAAGAGACAACAGACATGCTTACATTACAGACACACACAGACCCGCCCGCCCGCCCACGCACGCGCGCACGCACCAACCCACCCAGGCAGGCCGGCAAGCAGGCACGCAGGAACGCAGGCACGCACAACGTAGCCCTCCGAGGAGAGCGAGCGCAGGGAGCTGTCCGGCGTGCTCATCTTCCTGTCTGAAGAGCTGGGATCCGACGCTGCTGCAACCAGGTTGCAAAGAGGCGTCCTGGTCCTGAACTTTGAGAGAACTTCGAAGTGCATTTGCAGGCAGAAGCATGCCGAGCCTCGGGAGAACTGCCGGCTCTTGCAGCCCTCGCAAGTCATGGCGCAGCAGGCTCGGGCCCTTCTTCCGTGGTAGTCTTGCCTACGGGTTGCTGCGTAGACTCTTCGAAACAAGGGACGATGCTGCGGCGGCTGCTTCTGCTTCTCCAGCAGCCTGCAGCTCGTTCGCAACATCGGCTGTCCGTTGCTCCTCGACACCGAAAGCACTCGTGCATGTTGCGGGAGCACAGGACGGCTCAAGTCTCGAGGTTCCAGCCAGCATGCTTTGCTGACTGAAGTGCAGCCATGGTGGCCTCATCCCGCGCCCCTGCGGTCGCAGTCGTGGCAGCAGCAGCCGCTGCTGCGGCCATTGCCTATTGGCTCAAGATTCGCCAAGAGCTTTCCCGAAAGCGCAATAAGCGCATCGGCCAAGGCATCAGCAAGCTCGCACGGCAGATTCAGGAACTTCTCGAAACCCGCAAGCCTCGACGCATTGACGGATTGCAGCCAGAGATGTACAAATTGCCCCCCTTTATTCCCAAGTCGACGTGGACATGCCTAGGCGATGCACTTCGCGACTGCGAAACCCTGGATGTACAGGAAGTTCCGGGGGAGCGTTTTATCACACTGCGGTTGGATGGTAGTGGCTTCTCCAAGTTGACCAGACGAATGACTGCTTTGGGGGTCTTTTCTGGTGGCTACTCAGCGGAGTTTGCTGAAATCATGCGGGAATGCTGCCAGTCGTTGATGACCAAATTCAATGCTGCTTGTGGCCCTGCGAGAATCACTCTTTGTGGAAATATGTGTGTCAGTACCTTGATGAAACCTTGCTGCAGCTTGGAGCTAGATTCTAGATCTAGAGTTGGCGGTTGCAGGTGGATACACCCAGTCCGATGAGATGACACTCGTCATACCTGCAGCGAGCATTGTGCGCGGAGAGCAGCAGTGCCATTCACACAGTGGCCGCGTGCTAAAGATATGCAACTTGCCTTTCATTGGATACATCCCCGTTCGCTTTGTAAGCCTAGATGAAGCCAAGGTACACTGGCCGCATCCCATGTGACATCGCTGTTCAACTATCGCATCCAGGAGCTGTTTGCACAGAAGGGGCTTTGCATGGAAGCTTCTGGCTTGGCAACCTTCGATTGCCGCATGGGCAGCTTCGCGACAATGGAAGAGGTGCTCACATTCAAAGAGTTGCAAGACAACCACAAAATAGCATGCCACTGTCATATGTGATTCTTGGTGCATGCAGGCGCTGTCTCTCATTCTTTGGCGAGCTGCTGATTGCGGTGTGAACGGTGTGACTGATGCTGTGCACAAGTCCAAGATCCCCGGAGCCCGGAAGATCGAAGGCGGCTTAGCTTGCTCAGCTCCGGTACGATGCGGCCCTTGTGTTTTCTAGCTCCGCTCGGCCAGGCAAAGCGACTGGTGAAAAGCTACAGTGGCTGGCTCAGAACGGCCTTTTGCCCCTCCAAGCGCACCAAGCCTATGGCTCCTACTTTGTCCGCTCTCTTCGGCCACATGCCCGGCTCCCAGCTTCCTCGGCCTCTGGTTCTCATGGTGTTGGCATGTGGTGCATGCATACCGGCATTCGTATGTAGAGCCCTGCCATGAGCCTGCACACGCACGTGCACATACATACTGATGTATTATGATGTATATTATACAGGAAAACGCATGCAAGTAAGTAGTCGAGAATACGCGGCTGTACGTATGCTTCGTTTGAGTGTGCCCTAGTACTGCCAGCAGCCTGCCTTGCTTTAAGCCATACTCGTACCGGAGAGGCGGGCAGCAATTGTTCAATCTTCCCCCGTTCACGGCAACAAGCTGTTAAGGTAAAGGCAAGTTGAAGCCACAGCCCGAAGTGTTGAACCGACTCTGACCTTTGGAGCCGTTGGCCCATGTTTGTGCAAACCGAAGCAAAGCCGCGCATCGGCTCCAGCTCTGAGGAGGGCGTGAACCCGAAGACCGGGGAGATGGTGCAAACTCTGCGCTCAAGCATCCAGGAGCTGCCTGAAGCGAATGTTCTCTGCCTGGCAGCCGCTGGAAAGCTCCTGCCTTCACAGAGGAGGTGAGGCCTTGCCGCCATGCAGTTGGCTCTTTTGGCACTGTACAGTTCAGTTGGCCCGCCAAAAAAGTGCGAACGTGTTGCACAGTTTGGACATGTAGCTAAGTGGCGGCAGTTGCTTCGAGCATTTAGCTCCGCACATGTTCCGAAGTCTCAGGAAAATGCGATCGATGACACCCTGAGATTTCTGGCAAGATCCTCAGCGCATGTTTAGGGTCTTTCCGAAACGTGACGATGTTGGACTATGAAGCTGTCATAGATCATGCAGGATGCTTGGCTTCATTGCCATGTGGCCCAAGCTACGGACGGCCGCGTAGGTGAAAGTCAACTGAATCGGAGCCGCGGCGTTCACCCTTACCTTCGCCGCCATGGGTGACGGCACCCCCGCAATGGGCAAGCGCCACAAAAAGACCCACGGCTTGTGCCCTCGATGCGGAAAGCGATCGTACCACATTCAGAGGTAGCTTGGCCCGGGGGAGTTAGGGCGTCGGATTCTCTTGCATGCTTGACGACGGCTTAACCCGACCCGTGCCTGCGCTGCCTGCAGGAAGAAGTGTGCGGCATGCGGCTACCCAGCCGCCAAAATTCGGTCGTACGAGTGGTCCAAGAAGTCGAAGCGCAGACGAGCCCCTGGAACAGGCCGCATGAGGCAAGGGTGGGTTGCGACCGAGAATATGATATGGAGCGAAAGACCCACACAGACCGAAACGGGGCCTGTTTTTCCCCACGTCCTGTTGTTCTTTCTCTATATACATATTGCCCGTATGCCGCCTTAGCAGGTACGTCAAGCACGTGGCTCGGCGATTCAAGAACGGCTTCCGCGAGGGAGGTGTGGCACCGGCGAGGAAGAAGAAGGCCGCGGAGAAGTGAGCAACCCCAGTCGATGCTAGCTGGTCCTCGCTTCCTCGAGGCTTGGTAGCGACTTGACAGGTCGGATGATTCAGTTGCGAATCGGGCGGGCATCCAAAAAGTGACAGTGCGAAGTGTCGAGGTGCAAAATGGTGCAAACTGCTCCACTGTCGAGCAGAATGTCGTGGCACATGAGAGTGAGACTCTTCTCTAAGGATGCTGCCTTCTGCGCGGAGGCTTTTTGGACGTCTCAAGCACGAGTGGGAGCTGCTGCAGAAGCAGCCATTTCAGTGCTGCTGCGCCGCTCGACGGAGGAGATTTAAGCAGGTGCAGCGGGGCTCGCGCAATCGAGCGATGTGACAGTGCTCACGGTCAGCATACCTCTGCAGACAGCAGGGTCCTGCATTCTCCTGCGACAGAGGCCAAAACGCTGTGACAATGGCCACCAGGATCGCGGCCGGATTGGTGGCGCTGGAAGAGGCAACGACTGCATCAGCCCCAGGATGTATCTCCGGCATCCTGAAATGAGCTCAGGAGTTTGATCGTGCCGCTGATGCGGAGAGCGAAGCGGAAAGCAAAGCACTGCAAAGAACCTTGTTAGCAGCGGAGGCATGTCTTGTACAGACAGGCTTCCCCTTAATGGACCGGCAACTGTGCCATCTGTGCACGATTCGCTGAATTCTGAATCATTCCGAATTCTATCCCACACGAGCTGAGCAAGATGGGAGCTAGAACACACCGCACATCGTTGAAGCTCACGAGCCTCAGCCAATTTGGATTCAGCTTTCCAATGCGCAACCAAGGTTTCTACTTCAGGGTGGCTCGCCTTCGTTCGGCCGTTGCCTTCCTGCTTGCCCGATTTGCCCTCGACGCAAAGGAGACGTCCGAGGGCTTGAGGCCGGAGCCGGCCATAGCTGCCATAGCTGCCGTGTACAGTTGAAACATGCAGAGCAAGGATCCTTGTAGCTGTGATTTGCGAGGCTGCAACATGCAATGGTGTCCCTGGATCAAAGCATCAAGGGGTGCCTTGACGAACATGGTCGGAAGTGCCGGAGTGCCTCAGCCGGTGGCTCCCGAGGTATGTTGAGGAAGGAGTCGACCTGGGATGTCCCAACCTTGACCGACCCAAGATGGGTTGGAAGGTGCCGTACTCCCACTGGTGGGTTTATTGCTTCTGGCTTAGTTGCTGCAGCAATTTCCAGAGCTGTTTTGGACACATTCCCGCATCTTTCGCAAATACGGGGCCGCCGTAATTGCCGAGGCGTGCGCAAAGTGAGCAATGACTTCGGCCTGTGCAGCTAGCAGGCATGTGTATTGTTTTTGTCGTGAGTCTAGCCTAAATTTAAATGGCCGCCATGCACACAAAAGATGCTCGTCGACGGTGCGCACAAACAGACGCCGATCTGAAGAACACAGCATGGTGTCTTGGACTTATGTTTCCTGTAGCCGTTCAAGCTCGAAGTATCCCATGCTTTGTGTTGACGAAGTTAGACTAGTTGCTACCCACATTCAAACATGTCAAAGTGGGACTGTCAGCAGTGCAGAAGCAGCAGCAGAAGTTAGCAACATATCGCAATTGGCATCCAACCACCATTAGGGTTCTTGGGATGTTCAGCGCACTCGGCTGCACGGTAGTCCCGTAGTCCAGGTCCCTGCATGGAGGCTGGAGGCAAGTAGTTAGGGCCGAAGCCTGAACCTCAGTCAGTAGCTCTGCGCATAGTCGACTGGTTGGCAGCCGACCAACTCAACGAGGCTCAATGAACGAGTTGCAAGCCAAGTTGCTCAAGCGGCGAAGTGTCGTGGAGGACAGTACAGAGAAAGACCTTTGATATACTAGCAACACTACTGCAAAGTAATGGTGGTTGTAACAGCAACTGCACTCGTGTTTCCCCTCGCTGTCGTGGTTAATTCTTCCGGAGCCCTTTGCACATGCGCTTTGCACTAGGTTTCAGGACGCTTTCGCTTCGGTGTTTCCACAATTTTCGGACTTCAGGCAGCGTTTTGTGCACGCAGGGTTTTTGCAGTCAGGAAAATTAAGGTGGAAGGGTGGGGGGCGCGGGGAGCAATTCCGTCACTTGGCACCCTCAAGCCCAAAGCCGAAACACTTGTCACGCACTTCGCACAACCATTCTGCTTAAGAGCACCTTGCTCATACAGACTGTACTCTTGTCTAAGTCTCCAACTAAAGTCGTTGCTCATGCAAGCTGTACTCTTGTCTAAGCCTCCGGCAAAGCCGAGTGTGCCGCCCCCGCGGCGGTGCTTGCCTCTCGCGCTTCGTCTACGGCCGAAAAGTCAAAGCAGCGCAAGCCAAAAGGGAACAAGGTTTTGAAGGTCCTTGGTCGCACCCTTTCTATCAAAAGCTGGGGCTCAAAGGATAAGGACGACGACTCAGATGATGATAACGAGTGTGAGGGCCTCGATGACGACGAAGACGATGACCCTACAAGGGGTAGTTGGCAGGCGAAGCGCCAACGAAAAGGCAAAGGCTCCAGGAGCCGGAGCAGCATCGCAGGAAGCCGCCATCTGGCCGCCATCCTATGCAAGTCATTGGAGGACCGGAAGGCGGAATCACGCCATGTGACCTTCGAGGACTTGGACAAGAAGGAGACGAAATCAATGTCTATTTCAGCAGCACGGGGCAAAACCTCTCGGTTGGCGTCAGCCGGAAAGCGTGGAAAAATCGGGTGTTTCAGACTGCACTGGGGACCAGTGACGACTGGTTCATCCGGCAGTTGAGCAACTGATCTCCTCGGTAAGAGTGGGGAGTTTTTACTGGGTGATGGCCCTACGGTCTTTGACGTCCGTGACGGCAGCAAGGTTGCCTGCACAGAAAATCCCGGTGTCGGCCAAGGGGCGAGGAAAGCTGGAGCCTCAAACATCAGTGGGGCCCCTGAGCTAAAGGTGCTTCGGCTATTGAAGGCTATTGAGGTTTATCCGCATGCTGATGGCATTCTTTCGGTTTTTGTGAAGGTTTACCAAGCTCGCAAAGCTTTGTGCAGTTAGGGATTAGTGCACTGCAGCTGCTCGGGATGGGAGGTGCATTGAGATGGCTTTGCATGACTGGTCCAGAAGCCACACCTCAACTGCGAAAACAGCCTTTAGGAGCTGAGCTGCGTTTGCTTGAACTTTGCACAAAGACCTTCCGCGGAAAAGCTTCGTCGTCAGAAGTTTGCGCAGACTATGAAATCCGGGTGTATGCAGCTTTGGAGATCGTTGACGGTTTTGGTCCTCAACGGAGAGTGCTTGGGACGGCAAGGTCCCCTTTTTCCCGTTTGCAGATCCGAGCCATCCAAAGCCCAAGAGCAAGCTTTGGACAACATCACCGGTTTGGTTGAGCGTTTTGTTCAAAACCCGTTCGAGACTCGCGAGGGAAAGTCGCTTGAACCGCTCGTACATAGCAAGGGTCTGGATTATGGGGGGAGGAAATTATGCATGCTCTCCCTCTCAGGCTTGAGGAGGTTCTCCCCGGTTTACCTGCCGAGGGCGATGTGGGTTCTTTGGATGCCGCGACGGTGGCGGTTGGTGAGGTGCTGGATTGGCTTTTGGACCCGATGCAGTGATGCTGCCTCGGGATCAATGGCCGGATCCAATACCGAGGGAATGAACAGCACCCGCGAAGAATGGCACAAAGTCGTTCAGGTTTTGGTGAAAAAGGGATACTCTTTCCCTTACAAAACGAAGACATCTTCGTGTAAGGGGCGTGCGGCTTTTAAACGGTATTTTTACCATGGAAAAGAAAGGTGCCCTAGCACCTGGACAAACTCGGGTCACCCATCTAATCATGAGTTGCGTACCCACCAATTCTATGCCATGAGTGATGGTTGGAGATCTCCCAACTCTCAGCGGTTCCCCGTGCTACGCTTGGAAGCTCTCTGCCGCGTGGCGCCCCTTCATGACCTTTATGTGGCCAGTGCCAGGGTCGCTCGTGGGATGTCCGGACGTTCGAGAAACCTATGTGGCATCTGGAGTGATACGGATGGGATGGATCAATGCAGTTTCTTTGTTTCAACATTTGCACCGGCGCTTGGGTTTTTGCTGATCCTCCGACGGAGGTGGGGCTGGACCCAAGTGCAGAGTGGTGAAGAGATCGAGCCGCTGGGTGCAAGTCTATTTGGATGATTTTGATGCTCCTGAGTTCGTGGGAAAACCGGAGTGGAATCTCCCGACATTGCCCATGTGCGGGAACCCATCGTCAACCGGATGGGTGCGTGTGTGGACGGCGTTCGCGGATTCGTTTCGGCTCCCTCTCAAAAGATCCTGGAACAGGGGGATGTGTGGTTGGTTACTTTCTCAATGCAAAGTGGGTCAAAAGCCATTGCTCATGGTGCTAGGCCGGTCGGTTCGGTGCTTTGAGTTTCGGCGTCCTCTGATGGGGTTGCTGAATGATGTGTCTGCGGCTACGACCTTCAGCCAGTGTGCAGCGGGACTCATACGCGCCTTGTGCTGCTTACCTCTGAAGTCCGTTCTCTCATTAGCTGAACCCAGTGGCTTGGTCACCTGCTCTGACGCGTCATTGCATGGAGCAGGGCTCTGTGCCAGAGTGGGGTTAACCCGTGAGACAACTGTTGGCACGTTTGGAGCAAGGTGAGCCTCCCCCGGTATCTTTTCGATGGCGTCGGTGCTATGATGTCGGTCTAACACATTTACCTTGCCAAATCGTGGGGTGCGCCAGCTCCGAAAAAACTGATCGGGATTCCAAGCGTATTCTTCGCCGCCGGTGGCCACGAGTTATTGAGTTAGGAAATGTCCAGCCCGTAGGTCGCAAAGGTTGCAGAGCAACTTCATAGCAGTGTACATCGACAAGTTGATTTGGTTTTGGTGGCCGATAGAAGTCCATGTCACAGCCTCGAAGCAGTGGTTGAACCTGTTGAAACTCGTCAAAGTCAACAGCTTCGTCCGCACCACGAAGTACTGCGTGTTACTGACTGAACTTATACGCGAAGTATTCACGGCCAGCTGCTGTATGGAGCCGCTTCTAGTTTGCTTGATTGTTTTGGGCCCGGAGTGTTTCAAAGTTCGTCTTGTTATTCTTATTATTGTTATTGTTATTGTTTTTGTTGCTGTTGTTCGTGTTGTTGTCGTATTGTGGTTGCGGTTGTGGTTGTCGTGGTTATGTATACTATTGTTATAGTAATAAGATGATGCCGTGATGGCCATAGACAGACTGTGGATCAACGAGTCTACGGAGCTGCTGATTGTCTCGCAGTTGCTAAGCATCCTGCACCTGCTACCTTTTGCTTTTGTCAGACCCTGCATCATAGGTTCGTCCTAGCCAGGCGGGAGGCAAAATAATAACAATAACAGCAATTATTATGATTATTATCATCATTATTAGTAGTTTTTTTAGAATTACCATTATTCCTATTGCTACGGCAGCAGTCGAGTCCCTTGTGAAAAATTAGCTATCGCTACTATTGCTACTAATACTGTTATTGCTACCCCCCCCCTCAGTTATCTACCTTTTTCGTGGCTTTCCAGGGCATGCGGGGGAGCATGTTCCCAAATCTCGGGGTCATGTTCAGTTTTTAATTCAAACCCGTGTTTATCGGCTCTGGCATTGTGCTGGGAGGATCGTCTTCATCTAGGCCGTCCGTAATATAGTCAACGTAATCAAACGAAGCTACCCCTAAGGCTTATACCAGGCTAGCTGCAGGATCGCTATTCTCCTAACCAATAAGGTTTAGAGTTGAGGGCTGCATGAAAGCTAAGTTGTCAGGTAAAATCAGGCTCCGGTTATTGCTTCGGGGCCAGGATGACCAATCATGATATTCCTGCAGTTCAGTCTCAGGGTGGACATTTCGGGCAGTTTTTGTTTTTGTCAAGGGGGTATCGAGGGTAACCACTTCTCAACTTCACTTTGGTTCTTAAGGTTCCTATTGCATCTTGATCTCTAGTCTGCATCTAAATATCAGACTTGCCGTTGGAGCTAACCCGGGGGCCGATGCTGAGCTTGGGGAATAAGCGTAGGCAGTAGTGAATAAGGTTGTCACGGTGTGTATGGGCGGCATGAGTGGTGAATACTGCTATGACGGTGAAGATGAGAATTAGACAACGCTCATGTTAGGTCGGCTGGCAATACTTCAGGGTTGAAAAAGCTTTGCTGAGGCCAATGTGAGGGTTGTTACTTAGGCCACTAATAATAACTCTAATCCTAAACTGACTCGTAGCCTACAATAATAGAAGAGTCGTTGGGGTTGCTGTTGGAATCCATTGCTCAGTCAGATATGAGGAGCCCCAACACGGCTTCAACATTCGTACTGCTGTTGCGACGATTATACTTCTACCAAGTAGGAATTACTTTGCGGGCCAGCAGTACTGTTTATCTTCAGTCGTTTCCAATAGGTTCCAGTGAGCAACACACGGAAACCAACACTACATGCTACAGCATCGTGGTTTTGATTTGCATGCAGCTCTAAAAGGATGGACTATCACGCCGGCACTATGTTAGGGTGAATATGAAAAGCCCTGTCATTCTTAGGTCTATTTTTACAGTACCAGGAATAATATTGGGTCCAATGGACTTCAGTGAGCAAACCACGGGAACCAACGCTGCTACTGTTCATCGTGGTATTGATTTGCATGCAACGCTGGAAGGGTAGGCTATCATGCTGGCACGCGGTCGGCCATGCTTAACATGGGCAGGGCAAGTGAATTGGAGTTCAGTCCGAAGTATTGAAGTCCAATCCTGGGGATTGAAGTTCAATGCTCGGATTCCTTTCCCAATGCCTTAGATACATGCATGAGTGCTGTGCACACGTGCGCGGGCTTGTATGCTGTTGTTTTGTTTTGGTACTGCACACATATAAGCGGGCTACAAAAGACACATACAGACATGTGCAGAGTTGTGTTTGGGTGAGTTTGTGACGGCAACAATACAAAACAACAATGACGACACCAGCAAGGAACGACAACAACACTACTGCTCCTAAACCCTGAAGTAAAGATGGCCATCCCTAGTGGGCTCTAAAGAACCCCCGAACACGGTAGATAACTGAGGGGGGGGGGTACCTTATTATTATTATTGGTATTAATATTATTATGACTATTGCTGCTACTACTACTACTACTACTATTATTGGTGGTGGTGTTTGTGGTGGTGCTGTAGTTGGCGTGATTGGTGTGGTTGTTGTTTGTGTTTGTGGTTGGGGCTGTTGCTGCTGTTGCTGACTGTCGGTTTTTGGTTTGTAAAGGTTGGCACCACCATCACGCGAAGATGACAGCGATGCAGTGATATTAGCTGATACTCGCAGCAACAATAGTTCATCAACGGCAACGTCTTCATTGTAAGCATCAGTAGTATCATCATCATGAGCAGCCCCACCATTGCTCCCGGCGTCCTGAGCGACAGGGCAGCAATTGTGATGTGATTTGGGGATGGATTGCTGGTTTTCAAGCTGACCTTTTAACCCTTGCTGTCGCCAGGAGTGTGGTGCGAACTACGAAAGCGTGCCGACGCTTCGTAAAGAAGAGGATGCTTTGACGCAGGTTCGTCCACAAAAAATGCGTTGCACCTTGCTTGCAAATAAACCTCCTCGCTGACTTGGGAGCCCCAGGCAACTACAGTGAGCACTGCGGCAACGCCCCTGAAAACATGTTCGGGGCTTAGTGCCCTTGGTGTACCTTTTCATCTGGCTCCACCCAAAGCATGCCTGCACAAATCAGCTGATTTGAGGTGCGGCGGTGTTTAAGCGCACGCCAAGCCCTTGTGGTTCAGGCCTTAAGGTTTTGCGAAACTGACTTTGGACATCTGCAGTCGTTCTGAATAGAATATGATGAGAGTATGGTCGTAGTTCGCGCTAAGCTTGATCAGGGGGTGCTGGCTGTGCCGAGGTGGTGACTTCCAGGCTGCCATTGAGCGGCGGAGAGCCACTGTGGACGGTGACGGCCAGACCTTCGAGAGCACGCCTACCACAAAGACCGACCTTCTTGTGCTTCCCGAAAGCCCGCCCAGAAAGCCCGTTCTGGTTCTATCTGCACCAGCTGCTATTGACAGGATTATGGGTGGAGTTTGCAGAAGCTGAGTCTAAGTTTCATGCTAAGAGGATGTTGCTGCATTTTGATATGCTGGATGGTAGCATGGATGGTAATCAGAAGCACTCGCGACTACAAGACATGAGTGCCAGAGGATCATAGAGCAGGTGTATGTCTAGAAACGTCATTGTGTAGTCGTAAAGCCAACACTCGCAGCAAGACGGCGAAACGAGGGGCAGCTGAAAACTCACAGCTTGAGTCGCTGGGGGCATTTCGGCAGGAACAGCCGCGGCGTTGCCCATGTACCGGTTATCGTGCAATGCCCGTAGTGCCCGCACAGACAGTACTCGGAAAGCACTGTCATGCCATGCTTTGGGGAGCAAATCTCCTTTGAGTTGATTTATTTGTAGTCAGTTCCCCTAATTGCAAAACACCTCCCTAATAGTAAAACAACTTTCCGGTAAACCCCCCTGAAATCATCTCCGCCTTCTACAACCTATTCTGAGTTAGGGGGCGTAAAAAGTAAGAGCAAACACGAAAGCAGGAGCAACAGCAGAATTGCAAGAGCCAGAGCTGGAGCAAGATCCTCCCCAAGAGATACATACTCCCTACATTTTTGCTAACAGGAACCACGACATTCGATTCTTTATTTCGGGGGCTGGAGCGTTTGGTTTTAGGTGGAAGAGATTCGCGCGCGTAACCTGCGACATAGGGCCTTCAGATTGGAGTTGCGTCCGTGGGACAATCGCGGGTTGGATTCAGGCGCTGAGAGCTTCAAACAGGTGGCAAACATCGAAAGCTTGTCTGTCCTGAGTTTCAGCAGCCCTTCGTGGCCAGGACTGCAGATGTGACAAGTTCGGCATCAACGCCGACTGGTGCCAGCCCGGCAGGCCAGAAGCGTTCAATCTCTGTAATATTGTGCGACTACCTCGGCAATGCTGCTTCCAGCTGAAGTTGCATGTCGCATCTTTATGCTTGCATCCGGCGATCTGCCAACAAGGCATCAAGCCTAGCTGTGGCACGGTGGATTTCAAGAAGCGCATTGCGGCAGCCTGAAACATGTTTACATGTTTGTCGTGTGTCGCAGTTGCGTTCATCCATCAACAGAGCATCACATATGCTGTAGTCCAAACAGAAGCTGTGGTGTCCAGGATCAACAGCGGGCAAGTGTGGATGGCGGAGCGCAAACGTTCGTCTGCCCCCCAGCTGGTCAGACCTCGGTTAGAAGACACGAGTGGAGTGGACCAATTACACTTATTGTCTTGTCATGTTCCATTCGCTCCGACCGTCACCAGACACCCGAAACAGCGCCTTAGTCACGGAGACCTGCGTCTTGACGGCCTGGAGCTGTTGGCATGGGCCCAAGGAGAGTCGACCGAGCGAGCATTGTGCCGATGCCGGAATGGCGGTGCCCAATGCTGGTGGCTCTTCGGGCCAGGCATCGAGATGCACTAGCTCTGGATGGCTCTGCCAGACCCCTGAAGCCAGACTCCTGTGGCACCAGGTCTTTGAGAGCACACCAGAAAAGACAACAGCAGATTGCGCACTCGGCTCATCGGCTTGCTCTCTCGGGAAGCTAGAATGTGTCTTGGAGCTTCTTTGATATGAGGTCTCCAGTATTCGGAGTGCCATGCAGCTGCCCGAGCTGCCTGAGCTGCAGCTGCCACTGGCTTGGATTTTACCAAAATCCAAAAAGCATCTCACTTCTACATGTGGCCGTCGCTTCGATCCCAGGCCAGCTTCCCCTGTCCAGGAACAGGAACCTGGGGATCAAGACCAGGAGGCAAAGCTCCAAGAACGCCATGTCTTGCGCCTCTTCGGGCACCGCCTGTGCATCAAGGCTGGCGATGACGAGGAAGAGGAGGCAGAGGAAGCGGAGGTCTCTGACGGAAGTCCCACCAACAAGGCTCCGAGCATTTGTCGGCTCATGGTGTTGGTGTGCTTGTCGGTGTGTGTCTATCTATCTATCTATCTATCTATCCATCCATCTATCTATCTTTCTATCGATCTATCTATCTATCTATACACGTGTGTGTATATATGTGCATATAACATACAGATTAGATTAATAGATAACTTTATGTATATTTGCATGATTGTATGTATGATTGTACTAAAATGTATATGTTATGTTATGTTGTGTTATGTTACGTAGCCAACCGTCTCCTTTTGACAGCTTGTGGCCAGGTTTATGTTGCTCGATCCTCGTCATTAGTGCCCTTCCCTGCGCTGACGAATTACCGTGGCCCGTAACTCGAGCAAGCGATAATCACCTTGGCAGAAGAAAGCTGTTGCTACTGCTGCTGGTGCGAAAGCAAAGGGGACTTCCTGCTAGTGTTTGCTATTGCACTTGCAACCACTGCTGAGCAACTTCTCCTGCTCCGTTTCCAACCAGAACGACTGCAACCTGGGCAATCAGCCGCGTCTGACCGCCACTACAGTGCAGCAAACAGTCCGGGATCCGCATGGTCTCTTTCCTTCGACAAGAATATCCATGTGGCCTTCGACCTCGGTCTTCTGCTCTAAGCCTGCGTGACGATTACGAGCTCGAAGCGAGTAGTACCTAGTGAACCCGGCAAACCTTCAATTCGTGTGAGGAGCCGAAGACAACTCTCACTGCTTCGAACCGCCGAGCAGGGCACCTCAAACCAGAGAGATGTTGGAGAAGCGTGCTGCAGAGTCTCTCTTGGAGAGTGCGTGTGCATCATGTGAGTTTGCCTTGTCCAGGTCTTGTGGCTGGTGGGCTTAGCCCATCCGCTACAGGACGAATTCGAGAGCGACCCGTTTGCTGTAGCTGCGCCTGGCTGTAGCCCGGTACGAGCCTCAATCAAGTGAAGCTGCTGCCCTTGTGACTCGGCTTGGCTTTGCAGAAATTGACGGCCGGGATGCTGCCGTCGTTGAGGTAACTCTCCGCCTCCGCGCCGATGGGCAGAGGTGTCACCTCGAGCTGTCAGGGTCAATCTCCGAGTTTTTCAGGCACAGATCAATGGAGGGCCTTTCCGTCCGTTTCTCTTTGGTTCCATGTGGATGCAGTACACTGCATGCTGATGAGGCCTGAAGATGCTTCTGGCTCCTACGAGGCAGCACATGGCGCATGGCATTTGCAGATGCATAGCAGAGCAGCCCGTCCAGAAGAGGTGAAGCTCTTCGTCGGCAAGGGCTGGCGAAAGAAGTCCTTCAGGAGATTTGTGTTCCAGGCTTTTTCAAGGCAGGCCCCAGGCTTATGAAGCCAAAGCTGCAGTGTGGTGCCAGCACAATGACGAGCAGCAATGACAACATCGCAGGATGTGGCAAGCCAACGAAAGCCTTTCGGAGGCGTTTGACACAGCAAGAGCCTTAAGCATGCGGTGGACTTCTGCTGCGCGCACACCTCGAAGCAGTTCAGTCATGGTCACCTAGGATCTGACGAACCGCAACTCGATCCTTTGCGGTGCCACTTCGCTGGCATGAAGCGAACCTGTCCAGTCCGGCTAGAGTTGTTGTTGTAGCAGCAGCAGCAGCAGTAGCAGTAGCCACGCTCGCCCCCCAAGTCCCCAAGCACCAGACTCATCAAAACGCAACCACCATTCCAACCAGGATTCTTGCACACGCCAAAGGAGCATAACAATAGTAAGGTAGTTTAAGATAGTAGTAATCAGCAGTCTCTGCGACAACACCAGCAGCCCGAGGAACTCCCAGTCCGAAGCAGCCGAAAGGGACGGCGTTCTGCAGCTCAAACTTTTCATGCGCCAAAGGCGAAATAAGGTATAACGGTACAACTGCCAGGCGAGAGCTCTGTCTTGTCTCGCGTCGCTGCGACACTGGGAGTTCGTCGTGCTATCGCGACAGATACTGCTGACTATCACTTTTTGATACGCCCCCGTGGTGTGTGTAAGCATCTTGGTTGTAATGGTGGTTGGGTTGGGTTCTGTTTTGAGGAGTCTCGTGCTTTGGTGCGAGCGTGAGGCCGTGAGGGTGTGGGATGTTTGAATGAATGCATTTACTCGTCGTCGTAGTCTCTAGTTGCCGACTCGCGGCGCAACGGAGCTGCTGCAAGCAGTGCCAAAATAATACAACTGCTGCTGCTGCTGCTGCTGCTGTTTCTCCTCTCCTCCTCCTCCACCTGTTGCAACGATTCCCCAAACGATACCAGCAAGATGTGCCACAACTGTGGGACCATGGCTATTTTCCATTGCGCCCCGAGCAGCACACCAGTTCTGCAAATAGTTCCGTGTGAGTGAAACCAAGAGTGCCACGGACCGCGGCCGGAAACAATGGTTTTGCCGCGTCTCCATGTGGTGTATGAATGCCAGTCTAGTGTGTTGCTCAACTCTTTGCAAGAGCTTGGACTGGCAGCTCGCGCAGGCAATCCCAAGCATTGGCAACTAAATGTTGCTGCTGAGGTGATTTTCAAGGACAAGGCCTTGATGAGTTTGAGTCTCGTCCAGATACATCTAGCGATCTGGCCCCTGGTTATTGGCAGAGTTCATCGCTGTCGTCTTCGCAGGGGGTCAAACTATTTCACCAAGACATCGGCGACTGTTAGCGGTGAGGCAAGGGCAGAATACGGCACTCATATTCATCTCGGACAGTCTCAAATGTGTTTGTTCACCAAGGTCGCGAGTTGCCTGGCCATCGCCTTCGTGCTCCCTCCCCGGTGAGCACAGGCTACAGCAACCGGCAACCCTTTGTGAATAAACAACAGAGTGCCCTGAGGAGGGATATGATTCTTATGTCACTCAGCATGATTCGGGTCAACATGCGTTTTGATCATGCTGATACTTGCAACATGTAGCGAGCCAAATCTGTTTCGTGATTTGGGAGTGATGCGATGAGCACTCTACTGCCTTCGTAGATTTGCCCCCCAAGCCCTAAAGTGCTGTTCACCGCAGTAGCCGGTGTAACTCTTAGGTGGTCGGGCAAGCTCTTGGGCAACTGTATATTTGGACCAGGGTCCCGTACTTCGTCAAAGGTTTGCTTCAGAGTTGGCCCAGAAGTTGCAGCCGGTCATGTGCAGATGTATGTCATATGTGTCGGCAAAGGTGTTCCAAGTGCTGCAAGACCTGGCACAGGGGCAAAGGAGCACAGAGAGCATCTTCGCCTTCAGCACGCAAATGTCTAGCACCGCCTCCTCGCGACTCCGACGACAGATTGACGAAGCCAGTCATGGGCCGGCAAGCATGCACAGGCTAAGCACAGCTCTGAGAACCCAAGAAGTTCCGACCTTCGACTGGTCAGTCCAAAAGTCGCCCGCGCCTGGAAGCCAGAATGCAAAGCCATGCTTGCCTTATTTAAGTCAAGCTGAATGCCAGCGGAAAAGAGCCGAACGGCAAAAAACGAAGGGATTGCTGGCCGCATGAATGCCTGGGTCAGACCTGTCACCTGACATCTCCTCGGCCTTATGTCGGTGCATCTGAAGCAGCAAAAGGCGGTTCGAAGCACTGGCCCGAGCCGCGACGGATGTCGCAGACCTGTGCTCCAAAGGCTTAGATGGATCCTCGCCCAGCGGCTCCTGACGATCGTCACTCCCTCCGATGGAGACGTGGGAGACCCCGAACTGGGAGCAGCTCGCGCCGGGTGGCTGGTGGCGAGCTCGAGCCTTAGATTTGCTTTTCTGCACGGCGCATGAGCCCGATGCATCCTCATGCTCCTGACTGTACGGGTACCACAGCCGAGAAAAAGCCCAGTGACGCCTGGCTTCCACAATTGTGTTGAGGCCCTGCTGGAAAGCCAACATGCACGATGTCACGTGGGGTTAGGGTCTGATGGAAGAACTGCATGCGAAAACAACATGTGCCGTGAGTGTTCAACCGTAGGCTGTCTTGCTTGGGCAGCTCTTCGGTATTAAGGTGGTGCACCACCCCGCTGTCTATGCAATGATCCGACCGATTGAGCCACTTCTCCCGAACAACTCCGGCTACAACTACCCGCTACCTGGCAGAAAGCAAGCTTGCAGAGCAGGTCAGCCTGCAATCAGACCGGAGGTGGTGTCTCTATCATGCGAAGCAGCACTTGCGGACCCCCCCTGTGGTCATGCACGGTGCCTCCTGGAGGAACATGGTGAAGCTTTGTGCTGAATCGGGCCGTGACTGCTTCACGATCAGCTGCCCGGTTGCAGGCAGACCGTGAAACCAAAGAGCACAATAAATGTTCTGCTGCACCTCATGCCACTGTGATGAAACGCATGGCGTGAGTGGTGGCATTCGTGCGTATGCAAAAGCTGTTTCGTAGAATTTGAGTCGCAGTTCGATCACTGGAACCTCATGTGGTCGCTATATTATGGTGCAGGCACGACATTACGATCATTACCTATCCGGTTCTGGAGGTAACAGGTGGGTGACTGGGCCGGCCGCACGTTTCAGGCGGTCGAGCAGCACAAGTTTTGCAGTCTACAAACTCGAGACTTACATTTGGCGACGCGTAGTCTGAGTATCAGGAGTATCGGACCTAACCCGTGGCATGGACGATTTGTGTGCGGGCCCAGTGGCAGCCGAAGTCTCCAGGGTCACTCCATCTGCCATGTGGGATCGTTTCGCGAGACTGCCATGCGGCAGCCAAAAAGTCCCCGGCCCTCTATGATTCTGTGATTGATGATTGCCAATGGCAGCCGAGGCCAGATCCACGTCGTGGGAGAGGTGGGCATCGAATGATACGAGGGGCTTGCTCAGCAGCCACGATCCCATCATCTTCTTCGACTACACACGACATCACACATGGTTGACAGCACCAGCCGATCATGCCCACAGGTGTTGGCAATGACGGCGGCGCCCTGGACTGCAAGCCTGCAACCGGCTTCTGGTCAGTGTTCCCATGGTCACATTTCACGTCATGTGTAATGAAACTACGTACTATTGTACACAGCTGAAGCATCATTCCAAGCACCTGCCCCTAGCAATTTTTGTGGATGAGCCAGGAGGGGCATGATTGAATGTACTGTACCAGTCTCTGGGAACCAGTAGCAACATCATGTCTGTGGTTGTCGCTTCGTGACTGCATGCAGTCTGCCACCATAAATCCGATCTATGGTTTTGCAAGATGTGCAGCACAGAAATTTTTAGGGGGAGAACAGGAACTCCTTCCAAAAGCAAACCTACCAATTTTGGTCGTCGTTGCGAAGTAGGAGGCAAGAAAGTCTCCACTTAATTTGGGAAGCCGTCCTCGTGAGCTGGCGGCTTGATGGAACAAGAGAAGCACAGCTGTGGGACACGCTTGCCGTTTGAGGGCGAGTTATCTTGGTAAGCCTTTTCAACACATAGCTGTGCTTGATCAGGCGAGTATGGAACGAGGACTGGGGGTACCATCAGATTACATTAAGAAGTCGGTTGCGCCGTACATGGACTGATGAATTCCTTTAGTCAGAAAAGACAACAAGGGATTGCCAAGACTAGCTTGAACATCGGATTCGCTGCTACATACTCGTACTGATAATTGCGTATTGCGAACGGTGAAAATGCTTCGTTCCTGTCCCACTGATGTACCGCATTGGAGCATCTTCTCCGGACTTGCCTTAATTGCGACCAAGGAGTCGAGCTGGGATGAGGTTCCACCCGAAGGGTTCGGACTTGTTGGAAGCCACTGTTGCAGCCACTGTTTTTTTTTTGTGTGTGTGTGTGTGTATGTATGTATGTATGTATGTATGTATGTACAGTGTATAGCGAATGAGTGAAAACCGATTTGGAGTGTGGTCCTGAATGAAGATCCTTCTGGGGACATAGTCTCCGTTTGTTAGTTGCTCGAGAGGAACTGTTTGGCCAGTGAAGCCAGCTGGTGCTAGTACCCCGGGTGATCGTGAAGATCCCTGACTGATGTAGTTGTGGTCCCTCTGGTACCTCGCCTGCGACGTCGAGTGCGAGTGCTAAAAATGTATGTATGTACGTATGTATGTATGTATGTATGTATGTATGTATGTATGATGCGGCATTTAAACTCCAATTGGGCTCTTGCAAGTTTTTGGCAGACCTCTCGATGAGACGTGAAAGCCAAATACTGCGTGGGACAGTGAGAACATGCGACAGGAGGAGAGTTGCTACTGGCTGCGTTTGCGGGACGAGGGTAACTTTGGACAACAGTGGCTGCGGCAGGAAGGGATGGCAACAGTTCTGATTCGACTAGACTTTGCTGAGTTGCTAAGACTTCTCATTCAAGCCGAACGCAGGATGGCAAGTCCCTTGGCCTCGGCGTGTTCCTGGAGGCATCTGGTTTCTACCCCGAGACTCCCCCAGAGCCTTGCTACTAATTATTAGCGAACCTGGCGAATCCTTTCAGTTTGCGCATGCTGTCGCAGGGTTGTGGCCGCTCAAAGATAGACTTGGTGCTCGGCTGCAGGCCCTGCCTCCAGGCATACCTGGACATGACGTGCGCGAGGCCGGACTTGGATGCCTGGCACGCCTTATTCCTGAGTTTCGAGGTTACTTTCAATGGTTGCCTTGGCACTGTCTAGTTGAGAAGGGTATTTCCACAGGCTGGCATCCATGGGTTCAAGACTTCGCGCTCATTTTACGTACAGTGTTGTTGGATTGTCTTGATCAAGCAAGTCGAGTCACCTAGCTTTGCTTCTGCCTGGCAGGCACACAGGAAAGCCCTGTCGGAGGCAGATGGCCGAAGTGTGACAGATTGTGACGGAGTCACACTGGTTGGAAAAACTGGCCTGCCGTCAAGTTTGAACTGTCTGGAGGTGCGCTGCGTTCGAAGTGCCTTCAATCAGCTGCGGGATGGTGAGGCGACTGGCAACTTGGCTGCTTGCAGCGAACTGTGCTTGTCTTCCTCCTCGGGTGATATGATGTTAGGACACGTCGCCGGCAGAGATCCGTGTCTGCTCTCTCGCCAAACTGCAGGTGAAGCATGGCGAGAGGCAACTCTGGACAAAACGTTTTCCAGTTATACCGTTCGTCTCATGAGCAGTTGGAGCCAGTCTAGGTGGATGACAGCGAATAATGGCCCAGTCTTCGCCGTGCAAGCATAAAATCCAGGTCCCTCGTCTCTCCATCGCGGATGCAATGCTTGGCTGTTCGGCTAGCGAAAACAGATAAGATTGCGAGATCTCGTCACACGCATGATCACGCAGGACATGATTGAAAGTGGCATACCTCGTAGACTGGAGATGCGTTTTTGGCCGTTTTGTTTTTGTTTTAACCGTGAAGTCGTCGACTCATGTAAAGACCCCCGCATCCAGTCGAGGTCAATGTGCCGAGTCTCGACCTGCTGAGGCAGTGGACAGCCTTGAGACTGAGCCCCCCTTTGAGTCCGCAGCACACTGCATGTGCCCAGCTGTCTCTCACGGAAGGCATATGCACATGGGAGTGCGTCGCATGCATCATCGTGATATAGACTCGGTTCATCAATTCCAGGCACAGCGAGTAGTCGGCGGCCCGGCAATCGCCCATCTCCTCCGTGAAGGCACGCTGCATGGTCAAGACGATGATGTGCAACCAGAGAACTGCAGTGTGAGACGTCCGAGCATGTCAAAGTGCCGCTTTGCCGCTTGCAGTCGCAAGTATTATAGCTGCAACATCGGCACTAGCATGGCGACATGTTCCAGCCCGCAGGCAAAGCATGTCAGTTTCCAGTCAGCCTTGTTCGCAGGTTACGTTGCCGTCCATGATGCATTGAATGAGGATTTGGCTTCCGAGTTTGTGGTGCCCCGGTTTCGGAGTGGAAGGATTGGAGTATGACTTGAGACCATAGCAACGGTTGACACATGCATCGCGCTGAGCTAAGCAGAGTGGTCTCACTGGAGCTGCAATGGACACATGCGGGCGAGAGTTGCCACAATTTCAATGTAGCTGTCTTGGAGACGAATGAACCTTTTTTGCTTGTCCATGTGTCCAGAAGGTACAGATGGCAAAGCTTGATAACGGGTGGAATCTTCATGCAGCACCCCAAGCAACACCAGGACCGCAGACGGCTGTTGCATTTGCCAACCCACTGACATGCCGCTGACCCACGGTACATCGTCAGAGCTCGGTCGGCATGTTGCAGATCCGGGCAGCACAGGACAGCGAGGCGACCGCTTGCTATGGATCGACGAGAACATAGCTGCAGCTCGGTGTACGTGCTGATACACATATGTAGCTTTGCCAATGGCAGCTTTGGCCTCGAAGTTACCTTCAAAGAACAATGGTTTCTGGCTTCTATGGGATCATTGAACCTGTACCGGACCATCTCAATCCTGCTGCTCGAATGGTGCGAGGTTGGGCGCTATGGCTCGGAGGCTGTGGCCAAGGCTATCGGGCTGCTGAAGGCAGTGCCGCAGGGTGAGCCGGACCTTAGGCTTAGCACATGGTGAGCCCCTTGCGGTAGGGCACAGTTCAACTACGTTTTTTCGGCTCTATGCAGGGCTTGGCATCAGAACTGAACCCGGATCTGACGGCCCACCACTGGAGCAAGAACGCCGCTGGAGATGCTGCGCACGCGCCTCTTGGCAGAACCTCTCTGCATCCTCAGCGGGCATCGCATATCCGACAGCTATTGCTGGCGAGTCGAACTGAGCAAACCTCTAAGAACAAACTCCAAATCCCATGAGTAAGAAGTGCCTTTTTGCCAGGCTTTCTCCGTGGTTTCAACCGGCAATGCCGAAGCACGCATGGCCGCAGGTTGCGTCCGCGGTTGCCGGCAACAGACCAGGCGGTTCTGACGGTGTCGCCCAAAGCACAACTTGCCTGCTATCCGGGTGATGGTGCGCGCTACATTTGTCACCAGGCGTGCTATGCTGTCTCGGGAATTTGTCACAGTCCACACCTCTCGGCCTGTGCTGCACAGGACAACAGATTCAGGCCCTCTTCCTCGTGCTGTGGATGAGACAAGGCTGTCTTGATGTTCCGTTGCGAGCAGTCGCCCTTGCAGGCCAAGCCACGGTACACGGCTGAATTCTCGAGAGCTCACTGCGATCTTGCATCTCGTCTTCGCAAAATCCCATGTTCTGCATCTGAGGCAGGCGAAACCTGCGTCTGCTTGTTCAGACTGCCTACAGCAACCGAGGTATGGAAATCCCGCTGATTGGGATGCCCATCGAGTGCCTCTTCCGGGCATTGGTCGAAGCGAATTGTCTTACTTGTAGGCAAAAGTAGACCGTGCTCTGCTCGTATTTGACGCTATTCTGTCCATGAAGACATACAAAGACATCCCTGAAACGCTGCGTTGTGGACGTTAACACGGTGGGCACAGGGATGCTCCGTGGGAACGGATGGAGTCTGAGTGGACGTTACTTTGGTCGGCACAGGGATGCTGTGTGGGAACGGATAGAGTTTTTGTGGACGCTGACATGGTCGAGACAGGAATGCTTTGTAGGCGGATGGAGTCTGTGTGGACGTTAGCATAGTTGGCACATGGGGTGCCCTGTGGGAACGGATGGAGTCGGCGTGGACGTTAACATGGTTGGCACAGGGATGCTGTGTGGGAACGGATGGAGTCGCCCGAAGAAACTGGATCCCAAAAGCACACCCTAAAAGAACACAGAACCACTGCTGCCATTCATGAACACCCAGATCGTGACCGACTACGAAAGCACGAGAAAACGTGAGAATAACGGTAAACCAAAGGCATACCAAAGGCCTAGTGGCCTAATGCAAAGCTGAAGGTATTTGCTCTTGCTACTAGAAAAAGATAGGTCCTACGGAAGCAAAAAACGAAGCCAACACTGCTTTAAGAAGAAGCCTGAACTTTGCACAATCATACCTACTTGTGGCCGTGAGAAACACCATCATGTTTGTCATAGGGGGATATCGGAAGCAGGCAAAAGGCTGTAACTACCAGTAGATCAGCGACTTACTTCGAAATGCGTAGGATGTGACGGGATGTGTCGTCGTCTTGTGAAAAACCATCGGAAGTATGCCTGGTGAAGTTGATATGGTCGCTAAGGCGCCCACTTCCACATAGAAGGTTGTTACAGAGCTAAAGTCGTAAAAGCAAGGACACACTGTAAATACTACCCCGGCATTCAGGCCCTGAAACAAAGCAATGCAAGTCCAAAACATACCAAACACATAGCGTCAAATAAGAGCAAATCCCGAAGTAGACCTGAAAGTGCTCCAGTTTTCCTAGCATGGAACCTGTTGCCTAGTTGTTTCAACCTGCGGCACAGTGAAGCTGCACATAAACGGCCGCTGAGGACGGAGGAGCGTTAAAGCTGTATCCACAGACGGAAGACTTTGAGTCTCCCCCCCTTCCAGATCATCCGTCTGTGTGCTTTGCTCCGAGAGCCGGAACGCTGGCATCTTGGACCTGACTGGCTTTGTACTAGTCACCGGGTGATCGTAAGGTCATCGACGATCTAGGTTTCGTCCGGCCACCACTCGCGCCACGAGGTGATCTTCTTCTCCAGCCTCTGGCACGAAGTGCTGCCCGCCTATCGTCCGCGCCGGGCATTGACGATGTGGATATTGCGCCCGGAAGAGGAGGAGAGCTGGATGCCGACTGTGTTCTAAACCTTGGACATCAAGTCATTTCTGCACACTCTCGGCGCTGGCTTTGCCACCTCCAGCCAAGTCCATGTCATGTTGTGCGTCCAGCAGAAGCTCTTCGCAGCCTCGAGCCACGCCCATGGCATTTGCAGGGCATACTCACAACTCTCGCCGCTGGCCTTCGTAGAGTGATTGCCCCATTTTGCCGTGAATCTGCGTGACTGCACCATGAACGGGAGCGCCTTGCAAAGAGTCGGGTCGCAATGCTGGTGGTACATCTTCTTGGAGATGATCGCAAGTCCACATCATGGAAGACAGGCAGAGGGGGGCTGTGAGATGTTTCCGGACGCCATGGACGCCATGGCTCCCTGTCGATGAATTCTTGAGGGGGGGATGTGAGGCGAAAAGGTGGCCACATGTCGCGTAGCGGCGTAGCAGATGTCTCACCCAGAGGTGGAAAAAGCAATTGCTTCAGACCATAACGCCACAACCTACACCACTCCATAGGCATCGAAAAACATGCCACTTGAACGCCCTCTGTTGGACCGCAGGCTGAATTCCATGAGGGAAAGCCTGGCTCGAGAAGCTCTTGGCCTCAGGTTTCAGCTAAAGCAGCTAGAGGCATCCGGGCCGAGAGACAAGGAGTGTTCCCCGAAAAGGCGGCACTAAAGAGGCCTCTTCCTGCGGTCTCTCGGATGGAGTTCGAGATAAGCAGCATGCAGAGCTAGTCTGCAATGTATTCATTGATTTCTTCGCTTGTTCTGCTAGAAATGTAAACTGGACCACAAGAGCCGTAGCAGTAGCAAGCATCGCTGCAGATCCACTTGAGCCAACTGCAGCAGAGACCTCGCCCCGCTGACGTGCGCCTGCAAGTCGCGCTGTTTGCAGCCGCGCTGTACTTGCGCCTTGGCGGGATTCTCCACTCCAAGTTGCTTCGATTCCGTCTTTCGCAAGCATGAGCGCCAATTCCTTTGCGTCCCGAAGGACCTACAACATGACGCTTGTCAGCAGAGGTCTCCAGGGCGCTTTCAGCGATGATCAGGTTGACGATGTGAGTATCCTGTAGCATACTCGTGGCATCCAGCACCGGACCCTTCCATAGTCTTTATCAAGTTGGAGTTTGAAACCAAGGCCTGTGTGGCACGATTCACCATCCAGGCCCGAGTGCGCAGAGACACGTCGGGTAGCCAGCGAGGGCACGTGGTTAGGTCGCCACGTCGAAGGCGCTCGCCCTCACGCGAGAGGCACCTCGGCCCACAGCATTCCCAGAAGGTTCAGAATCCGGTATTCGTACAGTGCAACTTGCAGCCTCACCTGACAGCAGGCGTCGGTCTCGCAGTGCGACTGAGCGGCAACCAGGAAACCTGCAGACTTGCAGATATGTAGTGTAATAGGTGCCGTAGCCATTTGCATCAGCGGCTTAAAAGCGTAACCGAATTCCGCACTTCCAGCGCGGACTTGGCCGATGTTCAGCTGGTGGATACAGCTTGGGGTAGTCACCTCGTGGTTGGTGGGTGTTGCAGACTGCGAAGCTCAGTTCGTCGTGACGAGCGGGGTTTGCAAAGCCTACTCCCTCTTCCCCAGCCAAGTGCCTGATGAGTATGACAGAGGCCGTTTTCATGATCCTACATTCTGGGACGGTGCTTACGATTACAACTACGACTACAGCAACTACGGCTACGGCTATTTCAGCTACACTTATAGCGCCTACACCGGCGCCTCCGGGCCTATCAACTGCCCGGCAAAGAGTGGCAGCATATGCTGTGTCAGAGCTCCCGGTTATCCTTATCGCTATGACCAGCAGGGATGTGTCATCGAGGTGATCAGCGGCAACGCCATGTTTCTGCAGGTTATGGACTTTGAAACACAAGCTGCCGTGCTGATAGTCAACGGCCAAAATTACAGCGGATACACGGGTCCCAGCGGAGTCGTTCCTCAAGGTTCGATCATATTCTCCCCCGAGATCGATAGGAACGAAGACTCCCTCCGAGGCTTTGCTGTCTGTCTGGTTCCAGATGCACCAGAGGCACCTCCACCGTCCCCCGAGGTGCCGAATGCCGGCTGGAGAGTTCTGAGCGGGAGATGTGCTATGGATGCAGATGGCTGCATCTCAAGTCCAAACTTTCAAGAAGGGCTGAAGTATGACCTGCACGGGTGCTCGATCGAGGTTGATGCGAACAACTCGAAGTATATGAACATCTCATCGTTCGCGACGAGAACGGGGGAGGGGGCAGCATTGATCGATGTCCTGCAAATCAACGGCCAATCCTATTCTGGGTTCTTGGAGTCCGCAGAGCTACTGGCGCCGCCGCAAGGGATCATCAGATGGATCCCGGGACCACGTGAAGGAAGATTTGACTACAAGTATAAGTCTGGATGGCGGGTGTGCCTAACAGACGGAATGGCTGCTGAATCCTCATGGCATCGTCTGGGCGCTTCAGAAGAGACCCGCCACGCGCATTCAGCTGTTTGGGACCCTGTGGATCAAGCGATGCTGGTCTTTGGTGGTAAAGTAAACGGCGTTTATAACCACGCAAGCCGCTTCGTCAAGTACGCTCTCCACGCAAATGCATGGACAAGTTTGGAACCGACGTGGATGACCACAGTCACAACAAGAACGAAGCATACAGCCGTGTGGGATCCCGTCCGGCGACAGATGTTGATCTTTGGAGGCAAAAGCTTCAACGACGACAATAACGGAATTACGGATTTTACGAGCAAGCTTCACGTTTACGACTTGGAGGACAATACCGTTACAGATCCGATGCCGGCAATCGCGGGCGGGCTGCCGGAGTCGGAGCTCGGCCGCTATGACCACACCGCCGTATGGGACCCACAGCTCCGCACCATGTGGGTCTTCGGAGGACGACATGGTACAGGTCTGTGTTCTCCTCTAGCAACAGAATGTGGTGTTGCTACCGCAGATCTCTTTTCGTATGAGATGGAGGCAAACCTTTGGACCAAAGTGGACGGTGATGGAGCCCTGCCACCTCCTGCGCATCGTCATCTCGCGGTATGGGCACCCACAGAGCGCTCCATGTACATACTTTCAGATGCTGGCCCTAGCGTCGACTGCGAGTTACATCCTGGGTGTTCGTATCAGACGCTACTGCGCTACGACACACAGGGCAACAGGTGGAGCAAGCTGATTGCCCCAGAGATGCAGCCCACCATGTATTTTGCTGGCCATAGGGCGGTGGCTGCGTGGGACCCAGCAGCAGGTACCATGCTTGTTGCCGCAGAGGATATCTGGGAGATCGACCTGCAGGCAAACACCACAGCAGTGTTTGGTGGTGCGGGAAAGATGGGCTATCAGCGAGAGGACTTCACATCCGTCTTCGTTCCAGCTGCACGTCAGCTGCTGGTGTTTGGAGGCGAGAGAGCAATAGAAGACGGAGGCACCAGGGCCTTGTCAGACATCATCTCGTTCCGCAAGGAGATCTGCCGTCCCGACATTGACAATGGTTGCCAGTGTCTGCCGGGATTCGAGTTGCGCGAGAACAGCAGCTGTGAGCCCTGTGATGCCGGACGTTTCAAGGACTCTGCCGGCTTTGCTCGATGTGAGAGCTGCCCCATCGCCAGCACAAGCCTTGGCCGCGGCAATGCGGAGTGCATCTCCTGTCAGCCAGGGTTTACGAACACGGCGGAAGACACAGGGTGTGTCGAAGTTCTTGCAGAAGTCCAGAGCCTGTGGTTCTGTCCTGTTAGACAAGTCTGTGTTGTACGGGGGTTACCTGGCCTGTCCCACTATGGGCACCACTACAGGATGCAGCTCACGAAATCTAACTGCAACGAGACCGATCGTGACGACACTGGCATTGGAATTCTGAACGCAGGCATGTCTGGATTTGGCGAAGACAACGGGACGGTCTTTGTATGGGGCGAAAGCGGTGCAGATTTCCAGCCTGTTCCGGACCTCCTGAACGTTTGTCTCTGCGTCAGCCGTTACTGCGAGCATGAGTGGAACTATGTATTGTCCGTTGGGCAGATGTTCGTGGCTGGCCCATTGTGGGATCCTACAGATCCGGATCCTCCACCACCTGCGGATTGCGTCATGGGCCGCGACTGCTTTGACGTGGCATTTGCCGGAGCTGGCCTGACGTTGACCGGAAGCGAGGTGAGGGTGCAACGGTCTGCATGCGACTCCATCACAGTCACAGAGAAGGCACAACAAGCCACCTTGAAGAGGGTGGAGCTCGTTGCAGCCGATATGACCTCCGTGCTAACAATGGATTTCAAGTTCATCCAGTTGGAGTATGACCCCATCCCGTACTACATCTGCTGGTGTGGAAGCTCGGTCGAGGGCAACTGCGAGGACCCCTACGCGTGGACACAAGCTGGAGAAATGAGGATCGTGGGGCCCTTCAACCCGCACGAGGCGCATTGTGCTGTTGGCCAGGTCTGCACTTTCCCGCTCATCACTGGTTATGGTCTCCGTGGTGGCGACAGAATCATGGTGCTTGAAGTGTGCGGTGGAGGAAGCCCCCTGCCGGGTTTTCCCGGGGATGGCATGCTCGAAACGCCGGGCAATGGTACGGACGACGGCCAGGAGTTCCTCTTCATCGGAGCATCACAGGAGGTCCGAGGCCGACCCGGCGTCTACCGCTTGTGCTTCTGTCGGCCGGTCCCTGATGTGGACAACTGCACGCTTGCAGAGCATTTCACCCAGGCCATTGGCTTCCTTGTCCTCGCAGGCCCTCTGGAAAAGGTCACGACCTGCGATTTGGGTGCCGACTGTACGGTGGACTTTGTGGGCTCCAACTTGGCAGCCGGTGATGAAGTCACGGTCGTTGCAGGCAATGACTGCAGTGCTGGGCCCACATCCATGGGCGCTTTAGGCTACCCGACATTGACCTCTACCATGTTCCTCACGAAGACTGGGGCGCGATATCAGGCTTTGCTGGGACTGCCGCAGTTAGAAGGCACACCTGGAATATACCGCATGTGCTGGTGTTCGGAAGCTAGCGATTGCTCCTCGCCAGATGCATTCGTGTCGGCCGGACAGCTGGAGCTCACCTGCCCCCCAGGGCGGTACAGCATGGGCTTGTCTTCAGGTCGGAAATGTCGATTATGTACGAGGGGTTATTTCTGCGCCGGCGGCAGTACTGACTTCGCTGTGCGCATAGGTTGCCCTGCGCGCCGCACGACAAAGACGCTGGGAGCCGTGACGCAAGTTGCCTGCGAGTGTGAACGTGGCTATGAGCTTGGTGATGACATACAAAGTTGTGTGAGCTGCGGAATCGGCTTCTACAAGGATGAGATCAGCGATGCCAGCTGCAAGGCATGCCCGGAAGGCTTGACCACCTACATGCAGGGTTCGGTGTCCAACGCTTCTTACATCGATCGAGCTGAGCTGCTTGCGGACAGTCGCAATGTCACCATTCAAGCAAGCAATCACAGTACGGTGCCGGCCGTGGTGGTGCGGCTCGAGCTGATGGACCTACCCGAGGCACAGACCAGCATGACCAGCGGCCTCTTGGACGAGCTCCAGGCGATGCTTCGGGCCGCCATCTCCAATGTGGTGGGAGGGCAGCAAACTTTGACTCTGGAGATCCTGCCGGCTGCAGAGCGACGATTGGCAACATACAACATGCAGTTGGAACTGAAGGTCAAACACCGCACGGTGCAAGAAGCACAGGTCATGCTGCAAGAGTTGGACGTGGATGCCATTTCCGCAGGGATCGCTGAATCTACGGCAGACAATCCGATGTACTCCTCAATGAGCACTAGGTTGTCTGTGCCCACGCTTTCTGAGGCGACCATTCTCTGCCCCATCTACCGCTCCGTACCTCCGGGCGTACAGGTCCTCAGTAGCAGCGGCTGTCAGTGCAGTCCAGGCTACGGCTTCGTTGCGTCAGGAGACATCTGTGAACTGTGTGCAGAAGGCGAGTACAAGGCGACGGTTGGCAACGTGTTGTGTACGAAGTGTCCGCAGTGGATGTCCACGGCGGTGATGGGAGCGGTTTCAGAGGGCCTTTGTCAGTGTGAGGCAGGCCGCTTCGCAGCAGACGGAGGCTGCTCACAGTGCCAACGCGACCACTACTGCCCAGGCATCTCAGCTGCTGGGGCAATGTTCCCTTGCCCAAACAACACCTTGACGGCAACCGCCGATGTAGGCGGCAGCAGCGAAGCCGACTGCATTTGCAGCGCGGGGTACTTCAGAGAGCAAGTTTCAGGGTGCATCCCTTGCCGCCGCGGTTACTACAAGCCTAATGATGGAGACCAGGACTGCCGCAACAGCTGCCCAACGAACGGTATCAGCAACGAAGGAGCCGTGGATGTTGGAGACTGCTTCTGCATCGATGGATACCATGCAATCATGGGCTTGCGCAACGGTACCCAGGAGGAGCTGGAGAGTTGCGCGCCATGCAAATACAAGGGACTGACCTGCCAGGGGGGCTTGGACAGCGCTGGTGCACATCGACAGCCCATTGCGGAGGTCGGGTTCTTCCAGACGGGCGAAACTCTGGCAGCGAAATGCCAGGTCTTCTTCCTGGGAGGTGAATCTGTCTGCCTCGGAGGAAACGAATGCGCCGAAGGCTCCACCGGCTTCCTTTGTGGTTCATGCCCTCCCGGTTTCTCACGAAATCAGTACCCAGACGCTTGCTCCGAATGCCGTTCATCATTCAGCTGGATGGGATTGGTTGTCTTCACGGACATCGCTCAAAACATCCTCATTAACTTTGCCGTGGCCTCCTTGGCGGCCATGGCAGCGGTGAAGGACAGCCGCAGTGTGCATACGAGCATGATCCGAATCGGCACCCAGTTCATGACAGCGTGCTCGGTGCTGGGACACTACGACATAGATCAACTGCAAGTCTTTGAGTGGTCGCTGGAGGCCAAGATCAAAGAATGCTCCCAAAACGATGACCCTTGCGACGACCTCACGAGCTTGAACTTCGAATGGCCGAACCAGGTCAGTGCATGGCTTCGCTTTGTCTCTGGTGTGCTTGACATCGCATCGAAGCTTAGCGCGGTGAGCTTTACCCTCTCTTGCTGGGCCGAGCACATCTCTGATTCCCCGGTCGTGAAGCAGCTGATGCCTGGTCTCTACTTCGTTGTTTTGCCTTTGATGGCGATCTTGAGCAGCTATGTGCTTTGCGCAGTCGTGGCTTACATAGTCGTCCCACTTCTGCGGAAGGTCGGCATCGAAGTCACGGAGGCAGCCAAGAAGCGGAAGAAGCGGCAGGCGGCGCTCGAAGTGCTCGGGGATGTGCTGACCCCTGAGCTGAAAGACTTGAATCTCACTTTCCAGGATGTCAAGGACTCCTCGGCTTTGGATGATCTGGGACTACCAGAGATCTACATGGGCATCGACGACCCGCAGTCTCTCATGGAAGGCGTGCAGCCCCGCTTGCTGCCAGCACGCTTGAAGAAAGACGCGGATCGCGTGAAAGAAGATCCAAGGGTTGTTGCTCTGCTTGAAGTAGCGGACCTGGACTTCTCTGCCTGTGTTGAGAACCCCGGCCTTCTCTCCGATCTGGACAGCAGCTTGGGAGGGCAACTCGATCCTTTTGGCGAGCTTGACTTGAACCTGATGGACCTCTTGGTTCGCCGTGCACTGGCATTCGCTCTTGTCAAGACCAGCTTTACCGATCCGCTGCCACTCGACAAGCTAGCTGTGGCTGTTTCGCAGAAGTACTACTCCATCGGCGAAATGAAGAAGGCTTCTGAAGGAGATGAGTTCATGCTCGTGGCGGAAGAGGTGGCCTCTGTTCTCCGGATGGAACCTTCTAATTTCATCGCGGCCGAGGTGGAGAGCGGCGACACAGAAGAAGACATGGACACGTTGGATTTCGGCCTTTTCACGCGGAAGCCTTCTCCAATGAAGCTCCTGTACCAGTCTGTGCCGGTGATATGGGTGACACTGATCAACATGTGGCCGGGTCTGCTATCTCAGTACCTTCAAATGATTTGGTGCCAACCCGTGCAGGAGGAGACGGGAGTGGTTCAGCGGCTCCTCCCCCACCCTGACTTGCAGTGCTGGAGCAGTGATCACATGCCGCTGGCCGTCATAGCCATCGTTGGGCTGGGCTGCTGGTGTGTCGGCATGCCGCTGTTGCTCATCCTCGTGATCTATAGGCTCAAGGACAAGAACAGCCCGGAAAATCAGCGAAGGTTCGGATACTTCATCAATGGCTTCGAACCGCGCTTCTGGTGGTATGATTTAGTGGTCCGGCGGCTAGACATTGCCTTCATGATGCTGGTCACGTACACCTCCCTCACAGATGATCAACGAGCGAAGCTGCTCTCGTATCCGGTGATTTCGGGTGCGCAGATGGCGATTTGTGCTTGGCTGCAGCCCTTTGAGAACAGTCAAGCGCAGATATTAGACTTCTTTGAGATTGGCCTGGCTATCTTCCGGTTCCTGCTGTTCAGCATGGTCTCGGTGATCCTCATCTTAGCCCCACGGAGGGAAGCCACATGGATCTTGGCAGGTTCCCTAGCCACGCTCTTCACACTGATGTGCTGCTACCTGGGCTTGCATATTCTTGCACAGTTCCTCCGAGACACCTCCCATCAACTCGATGAAGCCGAGGAGGACGAGAAGAAGATGCGCAAAAGTGGAAAACGTGCTGCTGGCAACATCCTCTCCGGTCTGGCGAGAAAAGTGAAGACCTTTGCTGTGAAGACCGCTGCTCCATTCTTCCAGGAGCCTTCCGACGAGCAGTACATGCTGCAGTGGTGCTTTCATTCCAGTAGCATTGCCTTCGAATCAGAAGCATCAGCCGCGGCACGCAAAAGCAAGGCGTCTATTCTCGGCAGTGTGCGCCGACGCTTGTTGCGCTTCGGGCGCTTCTATCAATATCGGTCCACCGGCAAGGCGCTGGACGACTTTGCCGGGCTGTGGCTGGGGGTCTTCCGGCAGTCGGCCTTGCCCAAGGATGCCATGGAGGTCCTGTGCATTCTGACGTCGGCGCACAAGTCGGTTCCCTTCAAAACCCCGAAGTCCGACATACCTTTCCTGTGGAAGAGCCGGATCCAAGCCTTGTTGGCCGCCAAGGGCGCTGCCACCTTCCGGTTCACGCCAGATGAAATGATCACCGCGATCCAACGTCTTGGCTCCTTAAGAGCCGCGGATGCTGTGGAGTTAGTGCAGGCGACGTCTCTTCCAAAGTCTCCGCCACCTGAAAGCAGCGCAGGCAACCTGCAGCTGGTGGACCTGCCGGATTTGAGGGAGGACGAGCACGGCATCAGCATCTAGCTGACCATGCATGCCGGACAGGATATCGGGAGTGCACCTGAGAAAAATCTCCCAGCCGGTTCAAAGGTTTTGAAAGGCCAGGGTTTGGGAGTCTTCGGTCCGGAACATCAACGCGTGTAGGGTATAGGTGGTCAAGGTGTGATTTTCCTCGGGTTTAGGGCTTCGGGGTTGAAATTGTTGAACAACAAGGTTCAGCATTGAAGGTTTTACACTGGAGTGGCCCAAATCCTGGCCCTTGCTTTTAGCTGTTTGCTGAGGGACCATTGCCGCGGCAGGGCGGCTCGAAAAGGTTTTATTCAGCTGCTGTCCTAATCCGAGAATTCACGTCATGGATGAGGGGTGTTGTCAAGCCTCACTGCACCAGTTTTGCAGCGTACAGCGGAACCTTTCGAGTCAGTTTCGAGTCCGAGACGCGCCTCGGCCCTCACAAATGTACGACGAACCTCGTGTAAGCGAAAGGCCTGAACACGAGCTGTGGTCTGACATTCGGTGTCAGTCTAGCAGTCTAGCATAGTGAACAAACACTAAAATTTGGGCTGTTCGGCCCCTGACATCGCTGTTCGGCCCCTGACATCGCTGACCCCGTGCCCAAGGCACATCTTCCAGCAGTCCGATGAAGGGCTTCCGCTTATTTATTGTTGTGCCGTCTTCGCAACGAATCTGGCACATTTGATTAAATTCTGAGCACTGGCTGCGCTGTGCAAGCCAAAAAAGTTTCACCTGCCCTGGCTGCTTTTTACTTCTTCCCCCTCGACCTTACTTGGCAACACTGCGATGTGCCGGAGCCGAGGGATCGAGATACTCGGATCGCGGGAGGGGCAGGCGCGGTTTGATGGTGACCAGACCCCTGCAGAGACCGCGTCCCGGAGCTTTGTGAGGCCCAACGCCGGCGAGAGGGAGGAACGGGAGGAGCGGGAGGAACCTGGATTCCGAGGTCCAACTGTGAAGTTACAGTTACTGGTGCTGGCATCAAATCACTTCGCTAAAGCCTGCGCTAAGCACGGATGTGTGAGCAGGTGGGGTTGTCATCGGCAACCCTTCGGACACTGAGCCGCCCACCTACGAGGTGGAACAAGTCGGCCGGAAGCTTGAAGCTTTTTGCAGCCAGTACATCAACAGCCAGCGAGTCGACCGAGGTAAAAAGCACAATGGAGATCCAACTTTTCAGGCGCTGAGCTTCCTAAGTGATTTGGTACTCGTAGGACTTGCAAAAACGGCATCATCAGATGAGATGACGCATGAAGTTTTGTGCAGGCCGTGCTCAACATTAAAGGCCAAGGAGGGCGCAACCTGTCGGCAGGAATGTTCACAGACAGGTCTGTCGATGCCGTGCAACTCCCTAGATGGACTGATCCAGGCATCCGATCCTTGAGAGCTCCGCCCAGGGCAAACGAGGCAGGCGGGCATCAGGGGAAATGCGGCATCAAGGGCAATGTGCACATGTGTGGCAGCTCGCGGATTGGGCGGCACAAGCGAAGGACGACGCACGCGATGACGGGGAGGAGATGAAGGATTGCTTCATGCGCCTCGTCAGAATTGGCCGGGCCTCGTCGAAGCCACGTGCTGTAGCCTCCGGGCGCATGCGCCAGAAAGCCTCGTTTGAGTTCAGCGTCTAGCTTCGGGAAGATCGTCTCGAAGCCACTTCGAAGCCAAACAAACAGCTTCAATGGGGGCTATCGGGTTCAGGCGGAGTTGGTGATCGAACCTTCGACCAAGCAGATCAGGGCCGATGTTTTCATTTCACAGCCGGGGCTCATGGCTTCAATGCACACTCGACGATAATATGCTAGTACTTGCAAGGTGCAACAGCTTTGCAATATTCTGCAATTAGTCTTCGCCAGGGTTGGCCCAGAGCCGCAGTTCCACAATGCCGCCACAGACTAAAGAGAGGTCGTAGTTGCCCACAAAGGAAGCACGGCATGCCCGGTCTGCGGGAGCTCCAGCAGAAGCAGCGCCGCAGTCGGATCAGCCTGAGCCCAAGTCCTCTCTGACTGTGCTACAGAGATCCGTGTCTCACGCGTTTTCTGAAGGCTGACTGGTCCGCCACCTGCAGCGTGCGTTTGCCATCGCCTTACTGCATGGGGCCCTGCTTTGAAGCCTATTGATACAGATGGCATAGAGAGCTCCTGTTGCGAATTTTCGCCAAGCGTGTCGAGCTGCTGCCAGACCTCCAGCCTCAACGCTGCAAGTCGCTAGACAGACATCGATTTGCCTCTATGGGGGCCGGGAAAGTGCCCAAGCTAAGGACACAGTGGCAGTGAGGAGCCCTTGAGTTCGTGCCAAGCGCACACAGACTCTCATAGGAGACCTGCCAATCAGCAGTAGCCGACAGGTGCAAAAGCTAGCGGACTCAACGACCCTAGCTTTAGAGCCAGGAGCTGGCATAGTAAGTGATTGCAGCGTATCATACTCCGGACACTGGAAAGTAGGGATTTAGCTGCCGAACTACGTGAAGCAAAGAGAAGCGTGCGCTGTCTCAGTTTGGCCTTTCCCGGTATTTCCACGAAGCTCGGATCTGGGTGCCTTTTTTGACGCAGTTTGCGACAACATGGTCAGGGCGAGAGGTCACATGAGCATGATAGAGCTGAGCCCATTTTGGGCTGTGCCATCTCATTATGTTGTGTTCCCCCAGCGCGAGCGGAGTGTAAATGGGCTCCACACTGATAGGGATCCGGAAAGTAACATGCATGGCAATTGGAAGAAGTCTTGAGGCAAAGGGAAGCTGTGGATGGTATCTCAGATTCGCAAGGCATGAGACTGGGGGTGGGATTGGTTGACTCGTCCGGATGGTCTGGTGGTATCCCCGTGTGGTCGTCTCGTCGTGGTCGTCATTGGAGTCATGGTCGTCAAAGACAAATCAAAATCAGATTTGGACATGCATTGGCGCAGCTTTTCCAGGAGGCTAAATTCTAAATTTTAAGTGCACGACAGGATGCACGGAACTCCACAGAGAGTGTTTCGGTTGTAGGTACCCCAGACCACAGGCAGAGGGACATGCCTGCCAGGAAGCCTTTCTTGCAGTTGTGCCGTCATGTGGCTGCATGTGACAGATCCGTGTAAGCTCAGCCGATGCTGGGTGAATGTAGCAATGTCCAGCAATGGAGGGGTGGAGAAGGTGGAGTGGACCTACCGTGGCTGCTATGCAAGACTGCTTGCTTGCCATTGATATTGCACAGTGTCAAAGACAAACACATGTGGTGTTGCTTGCATCTCAACTGCTTGACCTCCAGCCGTCTCCTCCAAGGGATGAGATTTTACAACTACAACATGGCCAACAGCTCTGCGTTTCTTGACTGTGTGGAGAGAGCGACCACACGCAACGCTTATCGTACTGGATTTGCGCCTAGGCGAACTTCGCTCAGCACTCTGTCTCTGTGTGTGTGTGTGCTGATGCAAGGTTCGAAGGCTTGCATCAATTGCAGGGTGGCAACGGTGGCGGCTTTGAAAGCTGGGTGCAGGAGCGATGCTGGCAATGCTGGGGGGCCTTCAGAAGGGTGGAGAGCTGTCAATGGCCTGGCCAGGCGCCAGCCAATTGAAAGTACACTTCTGGTCTTGGACCATCTCGTACCATCGCTTTTCACAATCTCCTCTTCTTGGTTGCCTACTCGGGTCAGGCAGTTCGGATTTCGAGTTACTTGCCTCGGCCGCACTCTTGCTGCTTCTCTTCGGCTGCTCGTGTGAGTGGTAGGCTCTGACAAATCGAAAAGGCCTACGCTTACCAATGAGTTTGCCTGACTGGAGACAGTTGAAAATAAAAAAAGAATGATGCAGCAACCGGACGAAAGGCCTGGTTAGCGAGGGAGAGAGGCATGCGGGAAGCTAGGAGCCGTTGGCAGATGGAAGTCCGGTAGACCTCGTCTTTGCCACGCTTTCAGAGACGAGGCAGGCTGCTGCAGCCGTTGCATTTTCGGAAGCATATCGTTAAGAGATGTTTGCAAGTGGAGGTTGCAACTGGGCCCTTGGGTTCGTGAGTACCGGACCCAGCCCTCCCACGCATTGGATGTAGCGACATACCAGAACCTCACCTGCAAGGAAGGCTTGTGTGCTGAGCATTTGCAAAAGGTTCGGTGGCAAGCCTGTGGCACCAAGGAATTCTTTAAAAGAGGCCGACAAGACACTCGGAGCTTAAGACTTAGCGATGTATTCTTCTCGTGTTGGCTTGGTTGGAAATTTGACACTTTCGATAGCTGTGCGTTTGTAGCCTGCGCCTGCAAAGTCTCACATGGATTCACATGGTTCGTTCACTGCTACTCGGCTACCCCCCCTGCTGCTTACGGTGCAAGCATGGCTCTTGCTTCCGTAACTTCCGTCACTAGGAAGAACGAGCTGCCTTGGACGAGTGTCCTGGACGGCATGGCGGAGAAGTACAACGGGAATCTGAAGACCTTGCTCTTGCAGCTGGTCTGAGAACCATAAGTGAAGAGCCGAAGGGATTATTGAACCGCACGATGCAATGGCAAGTGCCTTGATCGATGTCGAGTATGTAGATCCTGAATATTTCGGTTAAGGCATGTGATCTAGCATCGTTCAAAAGGAAAGCCTGGATCAGATATTCGCGGGTGATTCAGCTTGGGCATTGGAGCAGGTATGGCCGAAACAACGGGAAGAATTTGCTTATTGCAGGGCATTCGGCTTACGGGCAAGGGGAGGGTGGCTTCATTGCCTGATAATGGCACGGTGTCGGGGGACCAGCTGCTTGGATGAAACGTGGGGAGTGGGTGCTGGGGTGTCTCAGTCGTTCTACTTGCACGTGGTCGCTGGGGGCGGGGGGCGGGGGGGGGAACGTCCGCATGCGATTACCGAGTGAAGTTTTCAGAGCCACTTGAGGTTTTCCAGATCTCGCTTCAGAAGAGATCCTGAGTCACTACCTCTTTTTGGAAGGCGAGGGAGGGATGGCGGCAAGGCATGGCAAGGCTTTGGTTCCAAAGGCAGCTTTCGCTGGGAGGCTGCCGGACAAGCGAGTTGCTGGCCTGGTTCGGTCCTCAAGCCGGTAGCTGTAGTCCAGCCAAGAGAGGGCTGGTTTGACTCGTTTGTTGTCTTCAGATGCAAGGCTTTGCCGAATCCCAAGAAGGCCTTCATCGGCCGAAGCCTGCTATCTCGGCACGAAGAGCTGCACTTCTGCTTTGCTGGTGCCATGGAGCTGTTGAGACAAGCAGCCTCGTGGGAAAGACGGGGGCTCAAGATGAGACCTGAGAAAAATCACATGCCCATGGGAGGTGCACATTTTCCGATCAGTGACATAGCGGCTGCTCTGGAAGACCCGAAGAAAGATAATCTGGAAGAGGCAAAGATCCTCCTCGCAAGGACTTGACTTGCACATCCTTGCTGTTGTCACAGCAGTGTCACACAAGCAACATTTCGGTTCTAAGTGCTGCATGGCAGCAGTTTGCAGCAGGATAGCAGCTTGCTGTGCTCTGCTAGACACGAGATGAGTTTGAAGACCTGCTGAAGGACATTGAGAAAGGTCCTGTGCAAGGCGCAGCGAATGGGACTGCTCGATGATGGCACGATCCTCATTCTGCAAGGCTTGCCTCAACCAGTTGCTAGAGTCAGATGACTTGTTCAGACAACCAGACCATGCCGAGCGAAACTGCCCGCAGGCGATTTGAACAGCAGAACAGTACTTCGCCCTTCTGGCAACCAGTTGGACGTGCTGAGTGAAGTGATGGCAGACAAAGAACTGCAGGACGCGGGCCCGAAGCAAACCGAGTACACGACACCAGCTCATCAAATGCCTGCATGTGCGAGGCGGCAATTCGAGTCGGGCTGCCTTTACTGGAAGCTTGAATGCTTTGTCGGTGCTGTGCCGTCAGTCGCAAGTGCGTGAAAGTCAAGAGCCTTTTTTGAAGGCTCTGCTGCATGCAAGTAAGGACGGGGAGTGGTTTGAACCTTCCAATGCAGATCCGTCGGAGCTTCCAGTGGCCTGCCATGCAGCCGGCAGCCACTATGAAATCATAACAGGTCTCTATGATGCCTAACTGCCCCGCCCTGCCGCCCTGAGTACTGCAAGGTGACATACAAGTTTTTATACGATGTGGGCCTGGAGCTCGGACAGATGCCTGTGGATTCATGGTCGGAGGAGCGAAGATGAGCTACATAATTCTTCCAGCAGGAGGTCAGGAGCCCATGCGCTGGAATCGCGGAATTTCCTACAGGGTAGCAAGAAACGGCGCCCGGCTGGAAATTCTGACTACCCGCTAGCTTCATTGGTGGAGGCTCCGTCCTTATTGGGGTGTGCCAGCCTTGCCCGCCCTGCAGTCTACACGGCCCCCGATTGAACTCCAACCTACGAGACGAAGTCTGAGCAACCGATGTCCGTGCAGCGCAACCTTTCGACCAGCAGCACTCACGCAGAGCACAATCCATTGGGCTGCCGTCGCAATGCCAGCAGCGGCAACTACACTAGAGTCTAGTCAAAGGGCCTGACAGAGCATCCTTCTGCCGGCGTGCGTGCTTGATTCCTTGATGGTTCTTGTTCTTTAGATCGCTCCTCTCCTAATAATGGTCGGAGTGACTAGCTTGTTCGGAGTCAGCATGCTGTGACCTGTCTTTCTTCGCCAAAGTTCACATAGGTTCCATGCTTGTCCAACCTAGGTTGCAGTCAGGTGGGGTAAAATCTGTACCGAAACTCCTTTGGTCGCGAGGTGAGACATTCCTGAAGGGGGAAAGTGCCCCGACTGCAAAACTTGCCGGCAGCGCTTCAAAAATCGGGAATCATTGGAATCAGGCATTGCATCTTTGCCTTGGCGCAGGCTCCCTCACCTTGAAGTCCCTCCTCCAGGCCGCGAGCGACGTGGAGCTCAGCCCGAAGAGCCCCAGCTCTGAGCGCTACCACGCGCTCCCTGCCAGAAATTGCTAAACCCAACACAGAGCTACCAACTTCGATCACACGTCCATGTCAACGTTCTCTCTCTGGATTTGCAACTACTAGTGAGGACACTGTGCAGCTTGCTGCCACCTCAGTTGGAGCAACGTCAAAGCCAAGCCAGACGTCTCCGCGTCTGCTTCTGCAGCCTTGAGGTCGCAACAACAGCTGAAAGAATGGGGCTCCTGGCACGCAAGTACAGCTCATGACAGGCAGTTCCATCGGCAGTTGCCAAGGTTTGGACTTCAAGGAAGGTAGCTTTCGCCCTTTCCGCTCCACAGCTGCAGTTACGAAGCCTTTCAGCATTGTGACAGATGCCCTGGCAGCGAAGGCTTTCCCGCGTCGGCTGATCGGCTTTTGGTATGGGCTCCTACGAAGCTGGCAAGGCCGGCGACCTTGCGGGATGACACGAGCTTTCCAAGTCACTGTAAACTCATTGAAGTCAAGCATTTCACAGAACTGCATGGATCTGCATGGAGCCACTGGTTGGCCCGCGGATCAAGATGTCATAGACTTCAGGCGATTACGCTGGAACTTTCCTAAGGGCGGTTACGAGGCCGGTGTCGGAGTTGCTGCCATTGTTCGGCTACAGCGCAAAGTCTTTAGGTGACAGCAGGACACATATATCTTTACTCCAGCGGCTTTTCTGCAGCAGGTGATCCACACTCAAGGGGGAAGTGACCACCGTCCCGTAGTCCTCGAGGCCAGTAAGCATCAGGAGGCCAAGCGCTGTGAGCAATGTGTATCTAGTTGCAACTGCCATGACAGGCTGCCTTGACAGTGGTGGCCGCAGCGCCTGACACGTCGGAACCGTGCCGCCCAGACCCGTCGCCAGAGCTGATCGAGGCCACAAGTTTCACTTGGCACCTTCGACTTCGAAGTTGGTAGATGTAATTAGCGTCTAAGATGTTATCTCATGTTTGAAGAACCCGCTCCACTGTCGCAATTGTTCGGGGCCCTCGGAACAAAGGCTGTAATACTGTGTAAGGACAGGTCGGTTTTGAAAACTGAGACTAGTCTGCCGTTTGAGTGTTGTGCTCCTTAGCAGGCAGTCACTCAAGACGACGCCGACAACAGTGATTCAGGTGACCCGGGCCGGCTTTAATTACTCTGAGTGCACTCCATGTTTTGTTCAAGTGGAGCCTCCACGCTGTTCGGAACAGCCAGGTGAGTCTCCGGGGCTGTTTGGCTCGCTTGCCCGAGGCTCAGGTGAACCATGGCAGTCGCTTCCTTGAATCCATGGCGAGATGACTCCTATGTAGGACCGCCAGGGTATGCTAGGACCAGCTGCTAGGATGCTGTGGGATGGGCCCAGGTGGCCAGAGCTGGAGTCAGCAGCAGCTGGTTTCGAGCTTCGAGCCCTGGCAGACAGCTGGGCCAAGACCAAAAGTTCTAAGATGTCCCAGCAGTTGTCCGAGTATGACTCGCCTCGCCCCAGTATCCTGCCAGAGCCCACCCACCTAGGGGTGGATACGTGCGCTGATTCCTGGCTGCAAAGCCCGAGCAGAGCAGATGATCAAGGCCGTCTCGGAGACAGCGCCAACCCAGCACTCAGCGACCGAGCATGAGAGTGAAGCCGGCAGGTCGTTGACGGCAAGCTTCGCAATCGCGAAATCGGTTGAGGAGACGGTCCGAATCTATCTACCGCGCATTTTCCAAGCATCGCAACAAGGTTTGCCAAAGCATGCTTTCATTATCGTGTCACCTGTTAAGCTCCCATGACCTCCAAATGGTGCATGGCTGCCCAAAAGCCCTGCTTTGCATCTTTGCCCGCCGGTGTAATGTCCCTTCGCAAACAAAGGCGACGGTCCAACGATTGGAATCTCGTGAATGTCGCATGCGTTTGGTTGAAACCATCTTGCCAGGCGACATGCGCCATACATGTGGCCGTTAAGCATCGACACTCACGGATCCCTGTAGGTGTTTGCAGAACTCCCGTACAGCAATTCCTAATTATATGCAGCACGATCAAACACAAGCAAGTGAAGCTTTGCGCAAGCATGCGCACGACGTGCTTGCCCTAGCGGATGGCAAGCAGTGGCTATGCAGCACAGGCTGAATGACTTCAAGCTGTGGGCTTGAATTGCCTGGACTTGGTGGGTTTGTTGATCAAACTCTCGTGGTCAGGACGAAGAGCCGGTTGTGGGGCAGAAGGCGTTGCTGCCACCGCAATGCCATGTGTCTTGATCATGGGAGAGTGACAGACCGTGACAGAGAGTAGGGGACTGTGGCGGATCAGACCGCGAGGCTTGAGCAGCAGCAAAGCAAGAAAGAAGAACAAAGAAAGGTGTACGGTGAGCACACGAGGTTCCTTGCGTCCTGGACTGGAGGTCTCGGTGGTAGGCTACACGGCCACCGTGCGGTTCGTGGGCGAGACCCACTTCGCCCCGGGTGAGTGGGTCGGTGTTGAACTTGAGCCTGGCCAGCCTGCCACGTGTTTCGCTGCAACGTCGTAGCCGGCCTGGCATGTGGCAGAATCGTAGGCTGTAGTGGCGCCGTAGAGATCTGTAGAGTGCAGAAGGTAGAATGCACAAGCTGTGGGCATCGCGTTAACGCTCTCAAGAGACGCACCAGTTGTGAGCAGTTGTGTGCATCGGCTATGCCAGCTGTGGGCAAGAACGATGGAACCGTGCAGGACCGAAGGCACGCCTCCAGAAAGCTCTTGCAATGTACTCGGTTGCTATCGTGATGCCACCATTGCAATCCGGAGCTATCTTTCTGCAAGAGGTTCCATTCCGTGGTGTAGGCACTAGAAGGCCACCAAGGATACATCGCGCTGTCAATAACTCGGGAGGGGTGTCAATGGCTCGTATGGATCTTGTCACAGCCGGAACGTACGGTATGCACACGCTGAGACAGCACCGTACAGGAAGCAGGGCTTTGTAGCTCAGTGGTTTCTTCCACCCCAAAGAGCGAGTGCAATTTGACACGGTGATGGGGCAGATCCTCCGTGGTGACAGCACAAAACCGAATGGGAGGCAAAACAGCTCACGTTTGCTGCGCAGACGCGAAGATTGAGTTGTACAGATTCGTCTAAACTCCTCCGTCTGCCTGCTATAGATCTGCCTCCATCTGCCTCCAAACGTTGACTGATCCAGGTATTTCACCTGCGAGCCCAATCACGGCCTCTTCGTGCGGAGGAGCGTCGTGCCGGGACCCTGATATGTCGTCACCAAGAATAAAAATCCCGCAAGTATTCAAGATTTGGGACAGGCAGCGGATACCTGGCGGAGATCCACCAAGCCCTAGCAAAGCGAGAGTTCTCTTTGCAGGCTTGGTGCCCTGTCGCTACTATCTTTTTCGCTGTACTGCTGGACATCCTTAGTATTAGTTGGAACGGCCTGTCTGATGTTGTCATGGATGTTTCAACAGTTCGGTGCGATTTGGAATTTTACAGCTTCCGAGCGTGACCGTCGGAGCCAGGTGCTGGCCCGGAGATTTGCGAGGCACCCGCCCGTGGCTCAGGCATATCGACAGCAAGACCCAATATTTCGTACGTTATTCTCCTCTTGCGTTGGAGGTCGGCGATGCTGAAGGCTGGGTGCTGCTTCCTTCGAGCTAGTCTAAGAGACTTTCTCGTCATCTGTCCAAAAAGCCCGGGGGGGGGGGGTCCTGTCATCATTTTGTGGTCTTCAGGTGACTCCCAGAGTGAGGATGATGTAGACGAGGCTGGGTAGTGGCTGGGCACATGTGGGCCGCAAGCTCCTTGGCCGTTGGGAGCTATGAGGTGGCCATGGTGCCCACGCAAAGCATGCGCCGGAAGGGTGTGTCGGCAGAAGCTGGAGGTGAAGAGGCCTGATCTTTCCAGCTTCCGTAGGGTTCAGCAACCTTGATACAGCACAGAAGCTGTGGTGCAATAAAGCATGAGCGGTTGCTCCATGCGGCTGCCCGGCCGAATGGAAGGACGACTGGGTGCCAACAGTTCACGAGAAAAGCCTCACAGAGAAGCGGCAGCTGAAAGAAGCCACCTGGAAGCCAGTGGTAAAGTCACGGATGGCTGTTGTTTGGTGACCAGTGGGGAAGTACCCATGGGTTGAAAGTTTACCGAACGGCCCGCAGCTTTGCAAGCAAGAGGCTCGCAGCTGTAAAAGCAGTGAAAGCACGCCGGTTCCTCTTTGTTCTTGAAGTAGCCCGTGCAATGTCATCGGGGTGTAGCAGAGCTTAGGTTCTTCATCAGAGCCAGTGACTCCGACTCGGAAAATACCTACTAGGATTAGGAGAAGACTGCCGAAAAGCTAAGCTACGAAGACATGTCTGACCTCAAGCAGCGAGGGAGGTGTGTCCACATACATGCGCTTCCAATGCCCAGAACAACCTTTAGGAAGGTTCACCGGAGCCCGGCAAAATCCTGTCGGAAGGTTTGTCACAGCCCTCAATTCGAAACTTAAGAACCCCCTTAATCGTTCAAGCCATTGAGACCTCAGCCCGCTTAGGTTATTGACAACTCACATGACAGCGACCAGGTTGCAATGCATTTCACCTTCAATTGCATGTCTCGACGCATTGCGGCTGGACTCCATCAAATCAGCGATTTGTCTAAGGCAAGCTGCGGATGATGAGTGGTCCCCAGCATCCAAACCTTCACAGCGTCTATTACACCGCCAGACAGTAGGCTCAGTGTGTGCAGGATGATGACACCAGAGTACTTGAAGAAGCATTTAAAGATGTGCTGGCATTTCAGGTTTGGGAACCTTTCTCCAAAAGGTCTCGAGCGTGTCGTCGAGGCGCCAGGGACAGCTGAGGGTGTCCACATGTCCAGATTGTCGTTTGCTGTCATGCATCATCTGCTTCACATTGACACCTGGGTTTGAAGACAGGCCCTGTCCACTTCAGTCCAGTCTTCTGGGTGTTTAAGACCTCAACATGATCATCGGCTGGTTGTGACGATCGCTCCATGCAGTTGCGTGGGAATGCTCGGCGCCATTTCGTTTGAAGGTCTTGTCGTGCAGACTGCAAACTGCTAAAAAAGTGCTACTTGCAGTGCACGATGGAGATATGTAGCTACATATGTCTCGCTTCTCTGTGTTTGATCAATCGAATGAGGCCATGTTCAAGAAGTCGGTGGGACAGGGGGAGACCATCATCAGGTGCTCGAGCTTTGGACAACATGAACACGTTTGTTCTTGACATGATTGAGCACTGCACGGAGGTTCGGTGATGTCGGAGACAACTTCTACATCGTCGTCTCGCATTATTATTCGACGTCTACAAGTTCTAGTTGTTGGCTTTCTAGCAGGGCAAGAGTACAGGCGCTTGCAGCTTAGGTCAAACTTGGCAAGTTCGACATTTTTGCACACCGCCGCCTTCAGCAGGCACAGGATACCACAGGTGTATGCAGCTTTCTCATGTCACAGAGAGCGAGTGAGCTGTGGGATGCTGCGGGCGTTCCCGGTGTGTGCAGCTAAAATCTTCTGTGCCATTGTCGGCTACCACAGTATATCCAATGCGGCACGGTGAGTCAGTCTCGCAGCCGCCAAAGTGTTGGCACGTTTCGGGTGCACCGAATTGGCAATGCTCGCAGTCTTGGCACACCCAGCATTTGATCGCAGCTGTGCAGGCTGAAGCCGAGACGGAAAGTTCCGCAGAATTCGTCAAAGTGCCGCACCTGGGCCTCGGGTGGCGTGGGAGTGCAATCGTACGCTCCTTTGCCCAAGGTGTTTGAAGCAGGGCCCGGCTTTGCGTTCGGGGAGGCTGCCTTGCTCTACAATGCCGGGACCTTGGCAATTCGGTCCCGGCTTTGTGGAGTGGGCGAGATATTGCACCGCGTGGTCGAGTCTGAGTGTGAGTGTTGGCTCTTCCGCGAACTTGAGCGAGGCTCCACGGTCTGCGACCATCAGAGCCAGCGAGGACGGAGATGGGAGCACCGAATGCTTGAAGAATGCCACGAATGACATCCGCAGACACCATACGCGAGGACTCTGAGGTTTGGTGCCTCGAGCGAAGAGCCTTCCGGGAACTCGTCATCAGGCGTGCGCCATGGGGCGAGCTAAGTGATGTCGCAATCACTGTGAAGTACTCGACAGGGCACCGCAGGAATTCGACAATCACTGGCGATGGGCATAGATTTGTTCAGTAATTTTGGGCACAAGCTGGCAGGGCTTCGGAGCAGAAGTTCAAGGAGTGCCTCTCCTTGCTTAATATTGACCATCAGTGCACATCGACCATGCAGTCATGCAGGGTCGTGACATGCCTCTCACATTCGGGTGCATGCCTCTCACATTCGGGTGCATAGTCTGGCCGTGTCATGCACAGGTATTCGGAATTCTTGAGGCGATGCGACGTTTTCCAAGAGTTGGATGCGGACCGCCGCTGTAGCACCTTGCTTGCTGCCGCAGTGGTCTGCTTCTCTCCCTATGAGGCACCAAACATTGGCTTCGCTGGTTAGTGACTTCGGTGCAGGAACAAATCGCCACCTTGGCTGAGGCCGGGCCTTGAGAGCCTCAGATACTCCATTCCTTTGAACCCCAGACCTTTTGGGGCACAAGGTGGTGGATGAGGAGGATTTCTCTGCAGACGAGGCCTCTAGTCTTGGGTTTTAACTCTACCACGTTCTGCTATGGGGCTTGCGATCAGGATCCGGCGCCCTGTTGCAGGTTTGGGGCGGTCCGTGTTACACATTCCAGATACATGGGCCAGAGCCTCCTCCGTTACAGCTCCTTTGGCACCTCCGATACAGCTTCGTTACAGCTCCGCTGGCAGCTCCGATACAGCTCCGTTACACCTCCGTTACAGCTCCGCTGGCACCTCCGGTACACCTCCGTCACGCCTCCGATACAGCTCTGTTCCAGCTCCGTTGGCAGCTCCGTTTGCATCTCCGATACAGCTCCGTTACACCGCCGTTACAGCTCCGTTGGCACTTCCGATACAGCTCTGTAACACATCCGCTACACCTCCATTACACCTCCGGTACAGCTGCGCTGGCACCTCCGTAGCTCCGCTGGCACCTCCGATACAGCTCCTTTACAAGCTGCCGTGCTCTAAGGGGTATCAGTTCGCTGTTTTGGGAGTCCACTGCACGCATGAGCCATTTATAGACAACTGTAGAGTCAGATGCCGGCGGTGTCGTCTCCGCCAGTCAGTGCATAGTTTTGCCTCTTGCAGCCGTTTTTCGAAGGTATGTACAGGTTGAGGTCGCGGGATGGCTTAGCCATGTCTCTCATGTCAAAAAAAGTCCGCTACAGCTCCGCTGGCACCTCTGTTACACCTCCGCTACACCTCCGTTCGGATCCTCCAGTTTGTGCAACGGAGAGGGTCCCGCTTAGTCCAAAATCTGCAACGGAGAAGGCCCCGGGTCCAATCATAGCGGGCATAGCGGGATGTCCACAACATGGTAGGGCTAACACTGAACTCTGGTCGAAGATGGTTTCAAGACTGCGAGCCACATGCCTTCGCACCCCTGAGCAACATCTGCAGTTTCCATGTTAATGAAGCTGATTGAATTTACTTGCAAACATGGCTTGGTTGGGGCAGGTCATAATTCAGCAGGGAGCACGGAGCTCGGCTGCCTGAGCACTTTGGTCCGCACGAAGCGGAGACATGTGACAGGGTCGCGACAGCAACATGTTCATCACCTTGAAGGGCCAAGCTATGTGCTGAGCTTCATGCACTACAGTTTCCAAAAAAACATATCGATGCACGATCACCTAGAAGTCCTTCGCAGTGAGTTTTCAGGCTGTTGCCTGCATCTCTGGCGACAAGGGCGAGGTTCAGGCCCAGCTTTGCCTTGCAACCTCGCAAATCCACAAGCTCCACTTAGGGCTTCACAACCGCGGGGCAGGGAGGGAAGCCTATGCAATGGAGTAGTCAGGTGAAGACCTACAACACAGGGGACTTCTTCGGAGAGATCGCGCTGCTGCTGGGAGAGCCAAGAAAGGCCGTCCTACAGATGCATCCAGTCGGGATGAACGGCGAATGTCTTCATGCTCTGTCAGGCGAGTGTCTACGCCAAAGGACATGTGACCTGCCTTGTAACCACAAAGCAAGTGTTCGATAGAGCCATGATCTCAGCTTTCGGTCTGCGACAAGGAGCTTCGTGTGCTCGCATTTTCGGATATGTCAGCAGGTGCTGGGTCCTCTCAGAGACTTCTTGAAGAAGAATCTGACAAAGCAACGGCCTCGAAGAGTTGCTGTCGCTCCGTAGGTAAACCCAAAGCCCAAATCAGCTCCCGGTATAGCTGGAGCCGGCACTGAGGCCAACAAAACGGCTTGTAAAGACAACCGTGCAACTGTGAGCTGCGCAGTGCTGCGACTATGTCGCCGGAGAGGGTTGGGAAACCGTCCAAGCGGTAGGATCCGGCAGCTTGGCTACTTGTATTTTCAGGCAGGAGAAACCTCCACCCTCGGGCCTGGCTACTCTATCTACTTGGGAAGCATCTAGAGGGAAATTATTGCTACAGGTACTCGTACCGAGGCGCTACCCTTGAAAAGCCACAGTCGCGGTTTTGCACACCGGCGAAAGTCGCAAAGGTATGCCCAGTACCAGGACGCGATTGAGCAAGGCCGGGCTCCGCCTCAGAAACCGAAAACGGGCCTCAAAATGTCGCCAGGCGGCGAAATGCGGGACACGCAGCCGAGCGACGAACCCCGAGCAGAGATGGACCGGGCTTTGGTGTGGGCGCCGCTCCAGGGTCCTTTTTTGACTCAACAAATGTCAGGAGCGCGAGGCCGAGTCCGAATCTCAGCGTACAAAGGAGCCAAACTAGAAATCAAGGCAGAAGCAGAGCAAGCATGCAGAGCTTGCGCAGAGCATCTGAGTTGGTTTCCAGCTTTGCCGGGCCAAGGCTTGAAGCACGGCGCAACAATTCAGAGGCGTGCTAGGGTGCCTGATTCAGCACACTTGAGTGGGGTCTGCAAGTGTTTTCGGCACAGCCGCAGAATTAAAGGGGCGTGACGTGAGAACCACCGCTAGTGCCGCCCACGCCACCTGCATTGCTCTCCGGATGTTTCGTGATTAGGGCAGCTTACAGTGGTGGCAACGAAAATCTACAGAACGCACATCTTCGCATCCTGCTGAAGCATATATTTCAAAGCCACACCCTGACGAGGAAGGGGAGGTCCGCCCTGCGCGAAGACGTCTTCTCAGGCGACGGGTCTGCAATGGCACTTGAATGTGTTGTTGTATCAAACGCTCCGTCAGATGCTTGTTTTGGGCACCGTCTCCATGACCAGGAAGGCAGATCGTGCAAACACGGTGTACAACGTCAAAATCAAGGCTGCGAGCTGATGTGGCGCGCAGTGGTTGACCCGGCTGGGTCTCGCTTTCCGGCCAGTTGCCCGTGGACCTCGATATCGACGAAGATGAGGAGCCAACTTCGACTGAGGCGGTGTCCGCTTGCTGGCATGAAACAGTATGACGCTTCCTCTGAGGCCGTTGAAGAGTAGGCTGCCAGGGTTGCAGCACACCAAGCCAAAATTGGCAAAGCGGCAACACGAAGAGCCGTGATGGAGTCGTAATGCGAGAGACAGATCCACAGAGGCTATTAGTCGCCTGACGTTCTGCCGGCGAGGCCGATGCCAAAGCTGAGCTCCCGGGCGAGTCCAAGCCAGAGGCAAGCGAAGCATGGCGAAGCACACAGGAAATCCAGGCAGACTCATGACATGCTGCAGCAATCCCATCCCTGACTGCGTGCAATCAGAGAGTCATTGAAATGGTTTTGGCTGGTTTTGGGATCTCTGCCTCTCAGGAGACAGCTCCGGCTCCTGCTCGAGGACAGGGCGAACTTGGACTCGTCTGGTTGTCTTTGGATCTCCACGTCGCAGTAGGAGAGGTTTCATTTCAATTGCCAGCCGAATGGGATCGACTGTGGCTATGGAAAGTTTGCAGCTAGCTGGTGCAGCCAGGAGAAGGCAAGAAGCAGACGCTTGCTGAACGTCTTGAAGAGGACTGGAAGAAGTCAGGGCGCCAGCTCCAGTGATTGAATGTCGCAATAGTCGAGTCGTGCACTAGTCTCGAGAGCATTCGGACTCACCACCACCACTTGAAGTTGACATGATTGATCGGGTGCCGGTGTGCGGACAAACTTGCGGAAGAAGTGCACAAACATCTTGCAACCGCGCTAGTTAGGTGGCAGGCGGCTGCCGGCAACGATGACAGACACGCACATGTTGCTAAGTGGCCCACGATTTCCTCCATTCGTGTGTGCCTTCGCCGTGTGCAGTCGGTCTCACTCACACAAATGCTATCTCTCCATTTGGCATCATCCGCCTCATGTATCTATGGTAGGGATCCCTCCTATGCTCACGCCCACCGTCTTTTCGAGTGTCAAACCTGCGACATCAGAGCCGGACATGAAACGCGGCATGCAATCCTCAACCTCGCTGCTTCAGGCCTCAGCTTGTTTCCCCAACAGAAGTCTTCAAAGTGGCGCAGCTTGGCTTGAATGGAACTTAAAAGCGGGAGCGAGTTGCCACTATCTGCCCACTGTCAAGACTAACTCTTTCATCAGGTTTTCATCCCGAGAAAGGATTTCAGATTCAGGGCTCTATTGTGGAATTTGATCCCCTGTTTGGGCGCAATCCTCTTGGGAAGGTGCAAGCCTTTGTGAGCACGAGGTATTGTCATTATCCAACATGGACTTAAAGTCGTCTCTTGAGCAATGAGCCACCGCTTCTGCGCCACCCGAGGAACAGCAAGTTCACGGCTGCTGCCTCAGACGTTGATTCAGGTGTCAGGGAAGGGATGCCTTGCTATTCCGACCATGCAGATTCAAGACGGCCACGAGCCTAGAGCTTCGCGGATGAGCCAAAGTACATGTACAGTCTGAATGTACAGTACAATGTATAGTGTGGTCCCATGTGGTCACTCATGCTCCTGACACAGGCATTCGGTGGATTGCGCAGGGGCGAGAAATTCACGATGGACAAAGCCGTCATCGTCAGAAGTCAGGCGCAAGCCTGCAGCATTGTCTTGAAGCCTGCTCTTGCATCAGCTGTTTCAGCAATCCCGCATATTCGGCGACGTGAAAGCTCCGAGCCCTAGCGTCTGCACGATTTTTTGCACATCTCAGAATACAGTGCATCCGACAATGGCGAGGGTCTGTGCGGCAACATCATGTCGATTATGGCTTAGCAATCTGCTCGCTGTCCGAGTCCGGGTGCTTTCGCAGGCTCAAGCGCAGAGAGACGGCGAAGAGGCACGGCACATGTTGGGAGACGTGGCTATCTCAGAATCACCGCCCGTTTCCTGACCCGGCAACGGTAGAACCATCCGCCCACCTTCGTCAGGGCAATTCGTGTAGGGCGCCTGCTACGTGCGAAGCAACAGCAGGACATCTACCGGTGGTCAGGGCCGAGCTGGCTGAAGGCGACATGCGGTTTCACTCAGATGCCCAGGCCATGTGAACTCGCAACGTGCACCTGTTTGCGACAGCCGGCTCTTGTCCCGCTTCATAGCATTGCAATCATGGCATCAAGCCAGCCGACCATAGCCAACCTCGGTAGCAACCCATAGCACACCAACTCAATCTGCACTGCATAGTTAGTCTATATAGTTCTGTTCTGAAATCTCGTGACGCAGACCCTGCCGCCTCTGTTTCTCTTCAGATGAGTTGGCTTCGTGACGTGCGAGAGAAACTGTTCAGTCAGACAGGGCTGGCCGCGACTTTCTTGATGCTTGGCCATGTCAGCCCGATCTTTTCTAGTCCGACCTAGGCAGCATCATTCAGACAGAGCCGCTGCAAGTGCTGTGTTTGGTAGCACGCCCGCGTTTGCATTAGCTGAATTCGTCAGCACTATTGAGCTCGATTGGGACGGGCTGACTGAAATTTCGTGCGCTTCCTCAAAGATGACCTTTCCCAAAGAAGCACAAGCCAGCACGGTCATTCTCTATGCATTTCCTGTCCTAAGGATTGGCACGCTCGGGTACATGGACCTGATCAAGACTGGGAACAGGTTTTGGGAACAGGTTTGGACTTGTGGAGTTTGTGGGTGGACTAAACTTGGCCAGACCATGGGCGGCGGAAATCTGTTTGTCAAGACTGCGTTGCACTTGATTTGTCGTCTTTGGGAAGCATCAGGTATCTGGTGTGGGACTTCTTCTCTGACGTTGTTGCAGCAAGGGCAGCCGCCAAGCGAAGGGCGCTGATAGCCGCCTGCCTGACCCAGAGGTTGAAAGCTATTGAGCAAGGAAACTACTTAGCGACTAGGCTTGTGGGCTTTGGGAGCTCTGGGAGCTGGGTATGTCAGGTGCTCTTGAAGCCCTTGCATCAGGCTTCATTCCAAGCGTTCTGCTTCCCGAGCGAAGGAGAAAATGCATGTGGATCCACGGGACTGGTACGAGGCAGACCTCCAACCCTACGACGGCAGCGATCCAGAGAAACCGACGCTGGAAATGCAGAAGCCGACGGTCAGGGAGACAGTCATGGGCCTCCGCAGGTGTTTTTCAATAGTGGAGAACTGCATCTAAGGCTATTAGTTGGCATCGACGGACTCAGGGCTGCACTCAAGCGCCACACTCGTGCAATCGCCACTTGCCAGTGTCGGAATGCGACTCAGGCGAAGTTTTCAATGTGTGGAGGGGCTGGAACTTCTATGGGCATGGTGCTCCCTACAATAGCTTCGCTGGAAGAGATGCCACGCGGTTTTTAGCGAAGCAAATCGTCTCCGAAGAGGAGGACGATGGACAGCCTTTGACACGAGAGGCTGGACTGCCAAAGAGTCTACTGACTTCTGTTTTTCTACAAAAGTTGCATCTCGTGGTCCTACGATCAAGTCATAAGAATGCATTGCCTCGGCTTGTTGCTTCCCCGTAGCTCAAGGCATGCTCATCCACTGGTGTGCAGTCGGCGCATTGACTTTGACCATTTGGTTTTCTGCCTTCCCGTATGTGCCCCAACCCAGGAATCTGTCACTCCAAGCAGGCAGAACAACCGAAGCAGCCGCAGATGCCGATACAACTTGTCGCTCTTTTACTGCACTGTACTAGTCACAAGTTGTTGGGCTCCTGCTCCGGCACAGGAGCTGGAGAACATGCAGAACTGGAAAGAATACTTCCGATTCAAGTACGACGCGGCCGGCAAGTTGCTTTCATGAAGCGAAGCCTTGACCCTGGCCTCCAACGTCGTCCCGCAGTGCAGCTGGGCTTTTCCCAGTCGTTTCATGTGCCAGCATAGACCAGCGAATGGTGCCACGTGTACAGGGCATTCGAGCTTGCGCCGATTGGCCGATGTCGAGCAGTGTACTTTTGCAAATGCTGGTGCAACGATAGACGTGACGACTGTTGCATGCAGAGCAGCGCATGGTTTAAAAAGCATCACGATAGAGCCTTGCATTTTTCTGTTTCCAGCGCTGCCAGGGGCAGATCCACACCGCGGTGCTTTGTCAAAAGGGCCAGAAGTCGGCTGCGGATCCAACACCGAATCAGGACAGCATTGTGCCTACAGTCAGTTCATTACGGGCAATGACCCAATGATGCAGATGCTCCATCAATGTAGATACCAGCGTTGTGAATTGGTGTGGCCCAAGATCAACTCCGTACGGAACTTCGTGCGCACCTCACTCGGAGAGTTTACTAGCCTCCGACTCTCAGCCGCCAACATCTCCTCAATGGAATCCAGCACATACTGTAGATGGCGAATGGAGGCTTTTGGCAAAGGGGAGCCTGCACGAGAGTTGATGACATCATGTGAGATCACAGAAGGCGAGCACACGCGAGCATCAACGTCAAGACAGGCATCTTCAGATCCCACAAGATCCCACACAATCGGCGAGGTGCTGCTACCAACCAGGTTGAGGCCATTCCAGCTGCGGCTGAACAGACCATGCAGATATCTGCTGCTTTTTCTGTAGCGGCCCACAAACTTCGGAAGTGTCAGCCTCACGGTTCCGGTTCATGCAAGTTGCAGCCTTGTCTGACATGGATCAGTTGATTTTACTGTATCCACAATGCCAGACCGTGCATTACGTTTCTAATTTGCCAGGACAACTATTTTGCGCTGCATGCTGGACCCCCAGTCGGCAAAACCTGGTTGGCGTTGGGTGAAGGAAGCGTTCGAATGTCGCAGGCCTTGGATGAAGTCTGTGTGGTTTGAACTGTCTTGTTCGATTATTCACTAGCCGCTTGCCTTACCTGCAGGCTTCATGGGCTTCTTGACTGCTGGTCCGAGTCTAGCCTACCTGCCCGAGTGGTTGAACCTTGACACATCTTGCTACCCAAGTTCACTGTATTCCTTCTTTAGCTTCGGCTTGCTGGAGTCATGGGGTGATCAAACCTGCCACACTCGAGTTGGCCCTTGCCGTTGTTAGATGATCGGCTGCTGAAAGTGGGTAATACTGCCTTATTAGGATTCTCGTCGTGTCTTTTTGAGCAGCTGGCTCCCCGTAAGAAGACATCATCTTGTCCACGTTTGGATGAGGGCGTCTGGATGAGGGCGTCTGGAAAGCATTCATACCACCCAAGAACTGTACCGGGTCAAGCCGGCCCGCCCCTCCTAACCAGATGCAATCGCCGCTTGCCATCTCAGGTCGGTAGCATTGGGCTTTACGGCGTGTGCGATGGGCATGGCCCTTTCGGACACCTCGTTTCGTTTCGGTTGGCTTTGGGCCAAGACTGAGCAAGTTCCGACAAGCACAGACCCTGAGACATCGCCGCATTTGTGCATCTCAACTCACCTCAAGAGCCTCGTTTTCTGATGCTGCTTCTGCTTGGGGAGAAGTTTTTTCACAGACTTAAAACGAATCAAATTTACAACTTTGGCCACGAAGGTGCAGACGTTGCCGCACTATATTACCACCAGCAAGAACTGGGGCGAGGCCAGCTTGAACTCGTGTTTAAGTGAAACTACGTCTAACTCTTCGTGTGTACGACATTGTCAGCACTCACGTGCCCGATCGGCACGGTATCTCATTCTTAGCTCGAGATGCAGTGCCATGACAAATTTACTGGCTTTGCCTCTGTGCTTCATGTGCCATTGTGGAAAAGTACCGACGAGCCTTGCCTCCTGGAGGACTGGGAAGCCTGCCTAAAGGAGGCATTTTTGGCAGCCCAGAATGATCTCCTCCAGCTCGCCGCTTCCGAAGGCCGGGGAGAAGAGAACTGAAGTTAGGCCCTTTACTGTCGCTTGGGAAGCCTTGCAAGCATGTCATCTCCTTTGCGGAGGCTTTACACCTGGCGAAAAGCATTTCGAGAAACACTTGGGCAACCTGGGGTGGTGCCTCAAAAGCCAATCTTGCATCAGGCATCAATGTTGAGGCTTCTGGGGCAGCTGGAACCGTGCTCGTGTTCGAGGCAAGTGCACTCCAGAGGTGCAAACTTGCAAGACCATGGGCCTGACCAGTCGGGGACATGTGAAGATAGTTGCACAAGAGTGGTTCCCTTCCGCTGATAGCTTCAGCTTCTTGCATCAGCACGTCAAATCATGAGTGGCAAGACCAAACACGCTTGATTCAGGGCCCGTGCATTCATGTAGCTCACATCGGCGATGCAGGCCCGAGGGCGTTGTATTGCCTTACTTGTTTGTATGTTGAGTCTGTGAAGCGGGAAGCCATCAGGAAATGGGAGAGACAATCGGTTTGTGTTTCGGGTTGTGCTGCTGCTCCTTCAGGGGTATTTGTGGTGGCAAGCTATCAGAGAGTTCTAGCTCTTTTTGGTTTGATTTACTTGTATTCTTCAATCAATCTGTCTGGTTAGTTTTTGTATAAATCAGATGGTCAAGTTTCAGGTTCTAGACATTAAGCAAGCATGTTTCTTTGTTTTTTCTCCACACACATATGTATTCTTTTGAGTTGTTATTTTCGTTGCTGCCCTGAACCTCGCCTGACCTCGTCGAGCGCGAATGCTAAAAATGTATTCATATCTATCTATCTATCTATCTATCTATCTGTCTGTCTATCCATCTATAGCATATATGTGTGCAACACGCACCATGGTATGTTCAGCTTTGCGCAGCTGGATGTCAAGAACCTGATACTATAAGGAAAGGAACTGCTTCAATTCTAAGCCCGGCATTCAAGCATCGTGTTTGCAGACGAGGGGCTGCCCTGTGCCCATAACATCCCTCTCTGTTTTGGAGGCCATGCCCGAAAAGACCTACTGGAATTCCCAAGGCTCGGCTAAGACCCCACAAACTGCAGTGCCCCGACAGCTTGCCGCCTCATGGGGCGTACAAACTCCGATTCACTAAGAGCTTGCTGAGGCAGAATCTAAACCTCACCACCTGTTCGGGTTGAGCGCGGCCAAAGGGGGGAAGGGCCAGATGTGCCATTGGTGGGGGAGGACCCCCTGGGTGGCCGCCGGTGCGTGAGTGTGTGCCCGAGCAGCCCTTTCTCCCGGTTTGCCTCCCCAGCATACTCGTACTTTGGGGCAACCAAGCCGGCAGGTGGTGGGCTCTTGGAGGTCCGTGAAACCAGAATTCTAGAAATGCTTGCCGCCGCATGCAGAGAAACATGACGCCACAACTTCCAAGTCCCCATTAGATCTGAAGCAGCCGCACCGAAACCACGGCACAAAGTTGGGAGTCGGCCAAATGGCTCAAACGGGAGGCAAGTTCATAACAGAAGCATTCCTTTCATGATAAAGAGCTTCAAGCCCCAGTCCAACACCCGCCAGGATGCCTCGTGGCATCTTGGAGCCGGCACGACTCGCGGGTCTTGTATGGCACAGAGGAGCAGCCGGGAATGAGAGTTTCCACCTGACGGTCGACGCTCTCATGTCGATGTGCGACGGTCTCGATGTTAGCTCGAGCTCTGCAGGACCACAAGCCAAACAATCCCGAAGAGCGGCAGCGGCTCGAGGGAGCTGGAAGTGAAGTTCGACAGGCCGGAAGACTGCCGAACAAAACAGCCCACATTGGAACAAAGCAAAACAGAATGATACTAGATTGCTCAAGGGCAACATTTCCTCCTTTGCTTTATCCCGAAGCAGTTGCAGTCACCGTGGGGAGCCTGATGGAGTGATTCCGGCACCGCTTTTAAAGGGACCCTGCAAAGCACTCAACTGTCTTTCGCAACTAAGCCAAGCCAAGAGTGAAACAGGTGGACGTGGACAGCTTTCGGATTTACATCAAAGGAACTAATTTTCCTGGCCTGACAATGCAGGGCACTCAGCTGGCTTTCGGGGCCTGGAGCTGGAAGAAAGAGCCAAGGTCCCGCGCTTTTGGTGACACGGCGTGTGCTGGCGTGCTCCAGGCAAGGGCCTCGGTTCCCTTTGCGCGGAAACTAAGAAGCAGGCTCACCGGCATGGCAGGGTGTACAAGAGACTGGTAAGTTTCGCTGCGGCTCGATGCCAAGTCCAAGCCGCACAGGAGCCGAACTACCAGCGCTTGTTCATCCAGCCGTCGGATGAGCTTCTCCGTTTGCACTGCGCAATGCCGCCTTGACAATCCTCGTGCGTTACCAGCACTGGAAAAAAGCAGTAAGCTCATCCTTCTTTCGCATTCCAGGGTATATGCCGTGATCGCCTCTGATGGCATCTGGGAGTTCATTGACTACAGCAAGGTCGTTGATCTCACATCGAAGAAGACTGTGCCTGAGATGTTGATCCATGAGCCGGAGCAAATCAAACGCTGGTGACACTTAGGCTACGTCTCAAGGGCCCAAGAGAGGCCCTACTGTAGGAGAGTACATCCTTCGTGTCGGGTGTCGTGCATCAGCCTCGGTCAGGCTGTCCGGTATTTGGTTGATGCCGGCCGGCCTGCGACCCAGTCCGATGTATTGCCGTGCCAAGAGCTTTTGGGACTGCTGCGGTTACAGAACACAGGGAACCCCACACTGGATGCTCATTAAAGCTAGGCCATCTTTTGGCCGCTTGCATCGAGATTCGAGATCAGCTGTCGAAAGGGTTCTGTTGAAGCACTGACATTCGCTCAGATCTTAGAGACACTCTGTCGCCGACTTAGACTCCCAGGCCAAGTTGCGGCCCGATGCCTGATCAGCAACGGCTGTAACGCCCACAATTCGCCAATATATTCCAACACAATCACAGGTGATGCCGTTGGCACTGACACTAGTTCTTCTCCGGCAGAAGAAGCCGCAAATAGCAATCCCTCTTGTAGCCTGGTGTTTGTGCCATGTCTTCGTCATGGAAAAGTAGTCAAGAGCACCGGCCACATCCGCACATCGATGCGGCAAGCCGCAGACAGGGGTTTCGTATGTCGCAGCTTCGCCACCGGGCCAGAAAATCCGCCAGCTTTACTGAGGAAGCGTTGGGCTGCTTACTGTGGCGATTATTGCCCTGAGCTCAGGGATCACTAGGCACTGGCAGCGCATTGCCAAAGCCGACCATCCACAATGTCCGTAAGTCATGCGGGCCAAACGTGAATGAATGTTTCTTGCTGCGTCTCCGCAGCCCCCAGACATGTGCACCTGTGTATTGCACAGGTGATGACATCACGGCAATGATTGTGAAGTGGAATGTCAATGTCAAGGACCCGGCTACAAAGAAGAAGAAGAGCAGAGCACATGCAGTAATTCAGTAAAGCTGCATGTACATATTAATGTGACAGTGGATGTTGCGCAAATCGAACTTTCTGCTTTCGCACTGCATTGCCAGGGCACCGACTCCAACGACAACCATGAGTTCACGCTGATACGGCCGGAGCTGCCCGCTTGCATGGTGTTTACAGCAATCATCAAGAAGAGTTGAAGAGCTTGCGGCTGTCTTCCCATACCCAGGACAGACATCAAAATGGATGGAGTTTAGCTGCCTGGGCGGCTGTCACTTCTGGCACGTGAATGGCTTTTGCATTGACTTGAAAATGAAGCCCCACAGGTCGTCAACTCCAGGAATAAAAATGCGAATTGAGAAAGATAATTTTGTCGGAGATTATCCTGTAACTACTTCTGCTCATCTGGAAGGTCTCGATCGGTTGAACGTTTTGTGGGGTCGGAATGTATTCTATTGAGTGAATATATGTATTTTTGTCCCAAAGCAAGGGAAAAAATTACATTTCATATTCGATATAATTAGGATCCTTGTAAAAGAAGGGAATTCTAATTATATCGGTATATCATATGATATTACTCTAGTATTATGGTCCGTGCTTGTTACATACGAGTATGAGAGTCGAAGTACTCGAACATGAAATTTTGGAGCATGAATTGAAAAATAAACACATATAATGCAATAAGATAATATTATGAATTATTTATTTTTAATTAAGATATACAAAAATCTTGGAATAATATAATTTCAAAAATATTGAAATATTGTGAAAATTTTAAATCCAATTCTAGTCTAAAAAAAATATAGATATAGATATATATATTTATATTTAATATTAATTTATTAAGATTTCTGTCTCGTTTCTCTCTCCCCCCCTCCGAATTTATGGTCTAGGATGTCGTCTCCGTTCCTAATTTCTTTTTTTCTTGTGGTATGGTTGGTTGGGAGGTTTAGATTTTTGGGTTTCCTTTAAATTTTTAAGTGTGGGACTTAAAATTGAAGATTAAAAGTTATAAGGTTTAAGACTTGAAAAGAGGTTAGGATTTGGGCTGGAATTTAGTTTAGAGAATAGTTTTATATTTTTATTTCAAATTTAGAGCGTAAACTTAAGTTTTGAGATAAGGCTTAAACTACTAAATATAAATTAAAATAGATAAGAATAAGAATATATTATATTATCGACTTTCTAGATTGCGTAGGATTTGTATAAGATGTCGGCTTTCTCTAAGATCTATAATTGTCTCTTACAAGCACAAGCCCCTATTTAATTACCTACGCTGACCCTTTCTTACTTTTATTAGATTATACGAGTGGGACGACGATCGATAACGCTTGATTGTATATCTACGAATATTTATTTATCTTATTTGCCGTATCTTTTTAAAATCTACAATAAATATTCCATTAAAAAAATAGAAACTAAATATTCAAATAAAACATTAATTAGAAATATATAAAAATTACAATTAAAATAAGTTCGATCTAATTCTTCGAAACCCTCGGCTTTAGAATTCTATAATCCGAATTTTAGATTATTAAAAGAGAAAAACAAATAATTTATTTTCTTTTTTTTTCCGTCCCACTTTAATTCTCTATTATCGATAACAATTTATTCATTTATCTAAAGGGATTATTTTTTGAAACGATAGATAATTAAAAAATTAATATTAGAGACGCCTCGTTACTTCTAATATCTAATAAAAAATTACAAAGCATTTTAATATTAACATATTTAATAACAAACAAACAGATCTAAAGCAAATAAATATAATCAAAATAGAAAGATAGACGGATAAATAGGCAAATAATCAAATAGATAAGCAACCAGATAAATAAATAAGTAAGTAGAAAAATAGCTAGATTAAAACATAAATAGACGTAAAAGTAAGACAAAAATAACAAAAGTATATAAAGTCAGAATTAGAGTAGAGACAGAATCAAAGACAGACATAAGGACAGCCGCAACGACAATAAAACAAATCCAGAGACAGACACAAATACAGACAAGCACTAACAGAGACAGACACAAACATAGACAAACACAGACACTGGCAGACACAGACACTAACAGACACAGACACTGACAGACACTGACACAGACACTGACAGACACAGCCACTGACAGACACAGACACTGACACAGACACTAACACAGACACTGACAGACACAGACACAGACACAGACACAGACACTGACACTGACACTGACAGACACTGACAGACACAGACACTGACAGACACAGACACTGACAGATACAGACACTGACGGACAGACAGACACTGACAGACACAGACACTGACAGATACAGACACTGACAGACAGACAGACAGACAGACAGACAGACAGACAGACAGACAGACTAGCAGATAGGCAGATTCAGGCAGAATATAGGTAGAATACAGCAGATACAGGCAGAAGCAGCTAGACAGAACCAATCGAGACAGACAAATAGAGAGACAGGCAGGCAAGCAAGCAGATAAATAGATAAGCAGACAGGCAGACAAGCAGGCAGGAGGATAAGTAGGCCATCTGTCTCTCTGTCTCTGTCTCTCTCTCTATCTCTCTGTCTGTTTGTCTCTGTCTGTCGCTCTGTTTGTCTCTGTCTGTTTTTGTGTCTATTATTGTGGCTGTCTTTGCGTCTGTCTCTGTGTCTGTATCTATTTCTGTCTCTGTGCCTGTCTCTGTATTGTCTGTATCTCTCTTCGTATCTATCTCTGTATTTGTTTCTGTACTTGTCTCTGTATTTGGGAACATATCTTCGTGGGTACTTTTGTCTCTGTTTGCTTACGTCTGTTTCTGTTTGTGGTTGCTTCTCGCTTCTCTACTCGTCGATTTGCTTGCCTATTTATTTATCTGCTTGATTATTTGGTTTGTTTATTTGCCTATCTACGTATTTGGATTGTTGTATGTTTGCTTGCTTATACTTATCTATGTATCTTTTTGTCTCCTGCCGGCCTACTTGCTTATTTCTTTGCTTACATGCTTGTTTGCTTGTCTATTTACTTGCCTACTTCTTTGATTGCCTGCCTGGCTACCTGCTTGCTCGAATACCTACCTGCTTGCCTACCTGCCTATTTGCCTGAGGGACAGAGGGACAGACGGAGAGACAGAGAGAGAGACAGAGAGAGAGAGACAGAGGGAGAAACAGAGAGAGAGACACAGGCAGAGACAGAGACAGAGACGAGACAGACCGACAGACACAGACAGACAAACACAAGGAGACAGAGACAAACCGACAGACACAGACAGACAGACACAGACAGACAGACACAAACAGACAGACACAAGCAGACGGACACAGACAGACGAACTCCTGCTTGCCAAAAGCAAACACGGAGACAGACTCATAGACACATAGGAGAGACACATCGACACCTGCATTCAGAGAGAGCGGCACCGGAGCTCGTGCTACCAAGATCCTGACTCCTGACGCGTTTCCTATTGAAAGTGTCTTG